TCACGTAGCGTTATCTTCACATTTGACACACATTGTATAATGCCAGGATTATCAGCAGCCGATCAGTATTCTGTATACAAACTGTCTACTGTATCAAAAGGAGCAGTGGATAGTGTCATACGTACTTTACTATTCCAACATGAATGTTAAATGGTCGCGCGTAGATTTTCTGGTAAGGACAGTCTTGTTTCTCAATATTAATCAACTGTTATGAATTGAAAATTCATTCATTATTCTGCGACGTAGCAAATATTTAAATGGAATACTAGTATCTGACTATATGTATAACCAACAAACACAAAGTAACAATGTTACATAGTCGCATGGTCATAATTTCCTAGTGAAGGATGGTATACCTGGAAGTTCTGGTATACCTACGTAACCTATTATAATCTATTTGAATTATATCTAATTTCTAACCTAACCTGAGTAGGAAATGATAACATTCTCGAGACATAATTGTTTGCTGGGTATATATACATATATGAAGACTATGCATATGAACACATACATAGGTAGGTGCAGTTATGAGTCTGTCGTCACTACAGTCAACGTTCCTGCTTGCTGTTACGAGATCTCCGTTTCGAATACGCAGGTGAAAGCATTCATAAAGCATCTGCATACCAATAGAGCTCCGTTCGGGCAGTCAATACGTAAAATTTCCAACGTGCAGTTCGGTACTATTAGGGCAGTATTTTCATAAGAATGAGTATTAGGTGGGTGCCTTTATTAGATATACGTTGAATCTACAACAATAAGGGTTATATGTACGAAAAAAATAGGTAAGATTACCGGTATTTTACAAGAAATAATTTAATTGTCAAGTTCAAGAGTATTTTGTTTTAATGTACTTTCTTATGGGTGAATGGCTACAGTCGTGCTGTCGACGAATATATATGTATATATACCCGACGGTTAATTTGGGAAAAATAATCTAAAATATTCGCTGAAGTTTCTAGATTTCGTAGTTACCTCAAAAAAAGTGCTACCGAATATTTTTCTCTGATTTCTGCAGTTAAGTAATGGATCCAATCGCACATGGAATTTGTCTTATGTATCTCGTCAAAATGGCGACTCGGACGAAAACAATCGAGTCCAACCACACTACTGTCGTGATGTTTTTTTTTCAACTTTGTAAATAGTTAAATACGATTGATTGATTAATGTGCGACATCATACATACGTTCCTCGTTTATGTCTCTTTCTATCTCGGGCACCTCGTTTCTGTGAGTATTTACGTATTTGTGATTCGTGCAAGTGAAATACAGTGTCTGGAATAAAGCAGGTGATATTAGCGAGTCATGGGAATTGCGGGATAATTTTTTTTTCATACTTTTTCCACACACTGTCTGTCTCTCTCTACTCTTTCCTGGATGGTACGGCAACATCTTTGTTCTTTCACTCTGTCTGGCCAATATTTATAAACTTTCAGGTTCCATGACATCTGTTGGCTACCAGCCACTAGTCACTGGCCTGATATAAAGATAGTTATAACTGATAGGCAGATTTTCCACTCGCGCAATTCCAGGTGTCGTCGGATTCGTAGTCAATGTCGTCGATCTTTCTTTCTATGTTGCTTGCTGACTGTGATGATTTTATTTCCGCAACGTTTTACAACCTTATTTATCATCGAGTCTCGTTACGGATGTGGTACAGTTGTAGGAGTTTTTCATTGAAAATAATAGTCTGTAACAATACTCGCTACAAAATGAGACTCACAATTAATGACATGAGAACTGAAAGTTTTATCTTTATGAAGTACAAAAATTTGCAAAAAAAATTATATTTTGACATGTCAATTTCTTTCATCGCGAAAAATTCAACCAATTGCTAGCTGTAACATGAATTTCCATGCACACTATTTAATTGTTAATATGTAGCATAAATACTATCTCAAGAATCACGATTAAAAATTATCATTAGACCTTTTAATTCCTATAATCGCGATATCGCAGCTCTTATCTTTCTCTTTCTCTCATTCCTCTTATTATTGATACTCATTATCTGTTACGGTTTATCTATTCATCTATTTCTACGGAGGCTCGTGACGAAGTTTCACAGTCATTCCGTTGTCTTTGCGACGACGTATCTCCCAAGTAAATTCATTACGATTTATGTTAGTTTGTGAAATTACTGAAAAATTCATAATCGGCTCTTGAAATCGGAGAACAAAATTCAGTCAATAAACATTGATAATTTTAATTTGCGCGAAAATATTTTCAATTATTAAAATTCTGAAAAAATTGCGTCTTTAGTGTTGTATGTATCTCTCGAAAACTGATACCGATATACTTTAATTAAAGTTCAAGATAAATAGAATAAAGAAAGAGAGAAAGAGGGGGGGGGAGAAAGACGTAAAGAAAACGACAAATCTCACGTGTTTTAATGGAAGAAAAGGAAGAGGAAAAATAATTCGAAAAAGAAAAAAAACGATCAAGGTAACATACTCAATATGTTCGTCACTATATATCTCGTAATCAGAGAGACGTATAGTAGCCAGTTGTAACTACGAAATCACCTGGATCGCTCCTATTCCTTTGAATCCAGTAAAACAGTGCAGTGAAACTGCTCAAAAACAGGAATAAATATTAAGTGGAAGAGAATTTGAAAAGAAGAAACAATGGCCGAAAATATAAATAGAGGATATTTAGAGGTAAGCATTATAATGGGGATTATCAATGAAATGTATTACAATTGATTTACAACATATGTATACTAATTTTGATTTCATTCCGTGTTATATGATCTGTTAGGAACACGAATTAGAGGCCGTGGAGAGGGGTGCTAAAATTCATGAAACCGGCATACAGGTATGTATAGTTCATCCACGAGTTCGGTGTGGTTTTTTGACAATTCGCAAGTAATCAAATGACACGAGGTTTTTCATAAAAAAAAAGAACAAATATATGATATAATAAAAAATAAAACGTATTAATGTAAAACCATGCATATGTATACTTTGGAACAAACATTTTATGCAGTGACACGAATCCCTTGCTAGAGACTTCATTCTTTTAAATTTATCCAAAAAAACATATGGAACTTTTGGACAGAATATACGTGCGAATGAATTTATTAAATGGTATAAGCAGCTAATACAAAAAAAGTGGCACACGTTTGCCGATAGGCCATTGCCGAGTAAAAAAAAGTTATATAAAATAGCCACGTATTTCGTTGCATATAGTATGTCAAATAAAAAAGAGGTATATACATTAAAACAATATTTTTTTGTCATAATTGTGACACTAGTGTAATTGTCAAATACTTATATGTAAAGATTTGATATATAAAACAAATAAATATAAATGTGTGTAACACGCTACAGTATATTATTGCCACATCATGTATAAATGTTTTATAAATATATATTCTCTGAAATATTGAATAAGATAGCAGTTTTCAATGATATTTTCTTTGAAATAGGAAAAGAATGTCTTAATGACTATACATTGATAGAGGAATGGTGTGCCAATCAAACATTCATTAAGTGTATGATTGAGGGTACAAGATATATATTAAATATGTGGTATATATATTTCACACGCCAATTTTTTTCACTCGGTTTGTCTATGACTTAAATACTTTTTTTTATTCACAATGCATCGTACTTACTGGATTATGTGTTTTAGAAAAATAAATCTTCACGTAAAAAGTATCAATGCGTCGCCAATGGAAGACAAGCACTGGGCAATCATGTGTCGGAAAATCCACGTGCTTATCGTATAGTATTTCTTATTCTGCTTAATATTGTTGTTTTCTCGTACTTTGCCTACGCCACTGTATACTGGATCAGGAACAGTAAGTACTTGCTGAACATCGTGAGACGTTGATACGTCTAGCGTCGCCTCATATTTTGCGTGACTTAAGTATAACGAAGATGTAACATCGAGGAGCTTTATTATGAAAATTGTATTGTTTCAGACAGTGATTGCGAGTTTGAATGGTGTGATGGTTATGGCATGCTGCTGCTTTTATTCGCATTTACTTACTTTGGAATATTTTACTTCTGTATATTCAAAAGGTACGTTTTGAAGTACGTGAAGAGGACGCTAAGACCTTTTGGACGATCTCTTAAGAGGTTACGTGCAAGGAAACGTACCTACTTCCTTCTGAGAACTGCATTTTATATCTCTGTTTTGGCAGCTGCTATCGTATTTCTTATTCTTGATACCATTAACGATCGTGATAGATTAATTAGCTGCCTTGGCGTTATCGTTCTCATCGGATTAGGTTGGATCTTCTCAAAACATCCTACGCAAGTGAGTAAAGAACTGCTGAAGTGAAGAACCTTTGTGTTTATTCTTTCTTTAATTGATTGTCTTTCCTATTTCAGATAAACTGGCAACCCGTGTTATGGGGACTCATATTGCAATTTTCCTTCGGTCTTTTAACTATCAGGTGGACCGTTGGACGTATCATTTTTCAATGTGTCTCCAACAAGATCGAAACTTTCATGAATTATTCCATAGATGGCGCCAGTTTTGTATTTTCCAATGAGCTGGTTAACGTAATTCAAGTTTTTGCATTTGCTGTAAGTTTTAATATGATTTTATTTTTATTCTATTAAATTATACAAAGTTCGATACTGTTTATCATTCTGATATTTTTAGGCTCTACCAGTGATCTTCTTCTTTAGTTTCTTTATATATATACTGTCGTACTTGGGTGTGATGCAGTGGGTGATTATGCGAATTGGATGGGTCCTTCATCTCATAATGGATACTACAATATGTGAATCTATGAATACTGCAGCAAATGTATTCCTGAGCATGGTACATATAACTTTAGCCATTGCAGTAAGATTTTGAAAAAAAAAAGTGAAAAAGATTGATAATTGTGCGTTTCTTTTTCAGAGTGAGAGTCCTCTATTAATCCAATCATACATCCACAAACTGACCGTATCAGAGATGCATGCGATAATGGCATCCGGTTTTGCAACAGTTTCTGGTTAGTCAAAGGTGGTTCAATAACCAAGGTCACAAAATGTAAAGACACATAAAATTCACTACAATAAATATATATATTACAGGGACTGTATTGGCAGCTTACATCAGTTTTGGTGCTCAACCAGCCCATTTGATAACAGCATCCTTAATGTCAGCACCTGCAGCATTGTGCTACAGTAAACTGTTTTATCCGGAAACTGAAGAAAGTCAAACGACAGTAAAAAATATCGTATTAGAAAAATCGTAAGTGACGTCTTTAAACATTTATGAAGTTCCTGAGTGTCTGGAAAGCTTATATCAATTTCAGAGAAGACTCAAGTTTGATAGATGCAGCCGTGAGGGGCGCCATGGCAGGTATACCCCTGGTATTGAGTATCGTAGCAAACATAGTGGCGTTTATATCCTTTGTATCGTTTATTAATGCTATCCTCTCCTGGCTGGGAGGTTTGATAGGTAATGATTCTCTGTCCTTCGAGGTAAGTGTTCAATCGTAGAAAACATTAACTGGAGACTAATTAACAATTTTTCATACTATTTCATTATTCTTGTAACTACAGCTGATACTCTCCAAACTGTTTATGCCTTTAAGCTGGGTAATGGGTGTACCATGGGAACAATGTGAATATGTATCCACTCTAATTGGACTTAAGACAGCAGTAAATGAATTTGTGGCTTATCAAAAATTGGGTGTCTATAAAAAAGAGGGTGTCCTTTCAGCAAGGACAGAAGCCATAGCTACTTATGCTATTTGCGGCTTTGCTAATCCCGGTTCAGTTGGAATTATGATTGGTGCTTTGACTGTAATAGCTCCTGAGAAAAGAGATGTTATCGTCGGCGTAGCATTCAGATCATTTATTACTGGTAGTGCTGTGTGCTTTCTTACAGCTTGCATAGCTGGTAAGCACAAGTATTGTGCTTTACTTTACTTACTTTACTTATTATACTTTACTTTGTACTTTATTTATTATTTTACATTTCATTTTATTTATTAGGCATGTTAATCAACGAGGATTATTATTCAACAATCAGTTCATCGACAAACTCCACAACTACCGTGTTATCCATACTCAGTCAGTCCTAGCAGAACTTTAAAACGCATACGCGAAAAATGACTTGAAAGGAATTGAATGGGTTCTTTTTTTACTTCTCGTGATAATTATTAATTACACGAATTAATCATCCTGAAGAACTGATGCGATTCATTCCCATTTTTATTTTAAGAACCAGAAATGGACTCAAAAAATAATAGATACAAAAGTTTAATAAATTCGGAAAGGCGATATGTGTTTTCTTTCTTTCCCTTAAAGAAGATAGCGCATCGTAAAATCCTTAAACTGCAAGGGATTTTCTTAGACTTTGAGTAATAAAATTCTGTCTTTATATAGAATATTACATATAACGGCAATTAACATAATAGATCAGAGAGAAAGTGACTTTTCATGATACCATTGAATAATACTGGAGTACGTATCTTTTTCTAACTCTTCCCCACGTCTTTCGAAAATTGTAAAAAGCAATACTGGCGAACGAAAGACACGAAAATATTACGAACGTATCTGGAATGTCTTAGACAACGATTTTAATCTCGTTACGTTTGGAGAACAATTCAAGATGTAAGATAAGCAAACTAGTGGCCAGAAATTATTATCTGTAGTCCAATTAAGTATAATACACAATATTAAGGTAAGGTATGAAGTTGATACGTCTCATAGAGATTATCAGTACGGAGAAAGACATCAGCAGTTACTTGTAACATCTTTGGCATGACATCCACGTTGCGTTGAACATTATCCCCACAGACCTAAATATGGATAAAGAAATAATATATATATCAGTACGATAATAAATCTAATATCATGTTATCTCATTATCCATTGTCAAGTGTACCTTTTTTAACAAAATTTCTCGAGTTGGCATAGTGTACATAGCGACTACAGCAGCCTTTTTGATAATCCAGGGATGATGTTTTGCCAGGGTCTTGTTATATGCATCCTGACAGCAGGCAGATGTTTTTTCCATGTCCGTAAGGTTTGACAGTTGTCGCAGAAATTCTCTGATAAAGTCTACAAATAATAACATGATATGCAATGGATATGACTCAGCACTAAAAGATAACACGTTAAATACGAATATAAAAAAATGCATACCGAGTCCTCTGTGAAGTCTGAGAAGTGTTCTGGCACCATTAATGGAGTTTGGTCTTTCAAGAATCTTGTTCTCCTTCTCATGATTTATCATTTTCTTAATAGTGGCATAATTCTCCTCGTCCCGGGCTCGCAACTCGTGGAGGACATCAATCTTCTCCTTCAAGTCAGAGGAGACAAAACTGAAGACACTTCCCATAAGCTGGAAAAATCTGTATGGATTCAGAGCTGCTTGTATCGTACTAGTACTTCACGGTACTCCTACCATAAATGATTTCTTATCATTAACGCAATATATAAATACGATTACTGCGTTAGAGACATGTAACCTTCATTTATTTTCTTTATCTTAGGACAGCTGTCATTCACACAAGCTAAGTTGAATAACTTACGTTCTTCAATCCTATGAATTCTCTTACTTGTACAGCTCGTTGTAGGCGTCCAGGTACGCCTTGATATCGACGTCCTCATCGTGTAGAAGAGCCCGATCAAAATGGTCGTGTACCATTCTTAGATCAAAATAGGACATTTCATCAGCTTCCGCCATTTTCTCTACTGTTCTTTACGTTAACCTACCTACTTATCATTAAACTGTTGCTTACTCGTGCTTCAGGATTACTATTGCGCATGTCAGTAATCACCCATTGAAATATATGTAGGTATACCGGCTGGAAGGCGTACGCGACGCCGTATTCATTGTATTCGCAGGTAGCCCTGTACACACTACTATTCTCACTCGACTCTGTAGTAAGTTGTCCTTTTCGAATTGAATTGCGCATGTGGTGTACAGACTCAGCAAAAATATTGCATCGCCGACATAATGTTTGTAAACGTCACTTGCACATCGTAGCATTTTGAATAAAATAAAATTTCATTTGTGCATAAGTTTATCAGACGAACAATGTCCAGACAGTGCTCCCTAATCCTCTGCTTAAGCAATACTTTTTCTTAGTATTAACTTTTTGAGACTATACAGCATACGACAAAAATAATATATTACATTGGCCTGTTTTCACGCAATCTCTCTCTACTGCTCTCTACGTGGCCCCGTCTACTGCCGTACTCGTTCCAGGATATGGTTCTACTTCAGTGGTTAGACCCGTGGTCAGACCTAGAGTCCCTCTAGTCAGAGTTCGGCCAACATCCGGAAGGGACGCCACGTTTAGGGCTCGTTTGGTGACATGACATTGCGCGCGGATTTTCAAACTATCAATCTTTACGTATTCACACATACCATCCTATTCCGGAAAGAGCCCTCAAAATGGCGGAGCCAATCAGTAAGATGCCCCACCGTTGGCCGGACTCTGACTAGAGGGATTCTAGTCGGACCTGACTTGGTATGTCCTCTGGTGACTCTATTGTCAAACGATAATCGGGAACTCACAATTTATACTCACCAGATAACATATCCAACATTCTGAACAAGCAACGATCCGTTACCCTTTGATGGAGACAGTGTTCTAGCAGTTCACTCAAAAGCTATAAAACATGTTATTTGTACAGAATTTGTAAATGACTTATTGGATTTCTTATTGGATACTGAATAATGGACTTAGATTATAATAAACTATATAATGAATATTGCATTTAAATAATAGGTTACAAATGTACAAGGTATATACATACGCATAATTTAAAACACACCACTTAACAGTATTGATTAAAACGCCATTATCTGTTTTGTAAGGGTTTTTTTTTTAAGGAAAATTTAGGCGTTATCCGTGATTTTCAAAACTTTTCTCATATAAATTCTGTAACAAAGATTTTTGTAAAGTCAGGTGCAGAACCGCCAATGTCATGCCTGCAGAGTTCTCCATTATCCAGATAACTGATTCCAGAATTGATCAGAATATTCCTGAGGCTCTCCATAGAGATATTTGGCAATCTGGATTCAGGAATAAACTTGTCCAGGTCATTCATTGAATAACCAGGTGTCATTTTCTTCTTTAAACGATACGAGTGAACAATTGGTCTTGTGTCGATCTTGATCTTCCTCTTGTCAATGATGGATCCACTATCAATGATCTTTGGAGTAAAGGATCTCATGTTTGTGGTGATGTCACTTGTCCTCTTAGCTGGAAGTAACTCTATCTGTAATTAAGAAATTAGATCTTAACGAGGAACTTTATTGATAGCTGCTCAATAATTGTTTTATCCTTTACAGTAATAAAAGCAATCACCTTAGTCTCCTTACGCTGATAATATTCAAAATCATCATTGGCTACTGTCGTTACTGAACAACAACTGCGACTTCTGCTCCTGCAAGAGCTGATAGTGTCGTCATAGTCAGGATTATCAGTGCAACAGCTCTCATCATCTGAGGTCTCATATCCACATTCCTGTTCCTGAATCTGATCCCTGTTTCTGGTAAGATCCCTCTTAACAAATGTTCTGGAATCTTTAGGATACCTGCCATGATCCAAACTCTGATTTCTATGTAAAATACGTTTCTCACTGGTTGATCCTCTCATGAAATCTTCATTATGACCACGGCAGGATTCAAAACGTTCCTTTATATCGCTATTCTCCAGATCATTGAGATGTTCCAAATCCAAGAGGACATTTCGCATCCGGTTCCCAATGGATTCCTCACGTATCTCTTCTAGGCTTCTGGCGAAGTTACGTCTGTCCGGTTCCTCTAATTGAACAAGGTTCTCCATATTCTGTCCAAAGACATCAGTACTACCAATTTTCCTCTTGGTACCAAATTCAAAATTATCATTAATCCGTATTCGCGGAATTTGCTGCTGCTGTTCACTCGTCATCTTCGTGGGCTCCTGGCGCGGCTCGAAGGTTGAACTCGTAAAGGATGTCAGCTCCGCCGGAAGTGATGCATAAGCACTCTCCTCATTTACGGATTGGGATCTGGGATAGTGCTGTACCCCCATAGTAATAGTACCTGTCCTTCCTGTAACGCGAATCGAAGGTTCACTCAAGCTTGACTACCATTTTCTTTCATTCTGTGTCCCCTTAGCTCATTCAGCCAATCATTTACCTCGATTCTGATGATTGTGCAATCTCCCGTAGAGACTTCCGTTAGTCAGAGGGAATTTCAGACCGTGATTAAGATTGAGCTGTAGCTTATACTCAGCATCCTGCTCGAAGTGCCTAAATTTCCCATCGACACCAGCGTGGGACAGTTTCCTGGCGTGATCCTGCTTCGTGTAGACCCTGGCAACGTAGCGGCAGAACATTCTATCAAAAATGGCAAGGAACACCGGAAGTAAGGCATCCTGAAGAAGAGGTAGCCATGTGGCGAGGTTCTGCGTGCTGCAGAAGCCCCTCAGTAGATCTGGTTTTACGGACACAACCTGAATTAGCAAAAGAAAGAAGATACAGACCATCCTTATTCCTGCAAAAGAGAAAGAGTGATAGGGACAAAGAGATAAAAAAAGAAATCGCCAGGAACGCGATACTCAGCGAAACCAGAAAGGTTTTTGCTTTCATATAAAAAATCTGGTCTCTCTTCTCGTCCTCCTCGTCCAATACCTCTAAAACGTCATCGTCCTCTCTCTTTCTATTTCTCTCCTACACTCAATATCCACACCTACACGCGGTTCTTATAATTTCGATTTCATTTGCTCAATTACATCCTACTGCTAATTGGCCGAGCGTCATGCAGAAAACGCTGCGGACTGTGAAGTATATAATAATGCTCGTTACGTTTAGACGAGCCACGCGAACGGCACCACTGGGCGAGCAAAACTTCACGTCAGCTGACCAATTTGCGGCTTCTTAGTTGGAATCACTAAGCACCACTCTTACGTGGTAGAACTTTCAATTTTACAAGCGGCCAAACCTGGAAACACGAGTGCACAAGCAACGACGCAGTGAAAACGCCTGGTTGCGCTTTCAAAAGCGTGTTTATCGGCCGTAGCTACCTTTGCTCTGCTCAACTTTACTTTTTAAAGTTTCCTGCAAGTCTAAATCGCAATATGCGAGTAACATCAGCTTCATTGCTTTGAATATTTTCAATTTCCATAACAATTTAGTACACTAAACCGATCTTAATTCATTTCAATGGACGGATATCTTGCTACCTCACTGTTAGTTGTCCGTTATCGTTTCATGCTCGAATAGTCACTAGTAATCTTGATGCATTACGAAATGTCTTGGCAAATTTGTCGTGCCACAATAACAACGACAAAAGGTAAAAAAAAAAAGATATAAAATATTTTGTTGATACGTAACAGGAATTTTCTCACTACAGAAAAAATAATTCATTACCAAAACTGGCAGATGGTTGAAGACGTAACAGACAAAAAGGATGCTGTAGACCGTGGAGGAACCCGTGCACTCATCCACATGGATCTTTTGCTTCCTTAGACATGCTCTGCTATTCGTGGAACCGCTTGTGCATGAGATATTGGATGGATCCCAGTTATGAGGATGACATTCGAAAGCGCCCGAAGAGTTCTTGGAGCTCGTTTCCGACAGGTCCGAGACAGACTTCAGTAGCTCTCCCTTTGGCTTATGAAAGACATTCCTCAGGATGCTCACCAACAGTCCCAGGACGGATGTCAGGATCAAAAGAGCTCTCAAGGAGTTGAGAAATATTCCATACTTCACCGAGATCTCATGCGCCAGGAAGACGCAAATGTCTGGCTCAAAATTGAGGACGCCAGTGACGCCTATGCAGGCACTTATCACGCTTAGACTGACCAGATGATACTTTAGATGATTTTTGGTAAAATTAATATTATTTTTCTCAATCACTGAGAATATGGCGATTGTCGTCAGCGTCAATTCCTGCAGTACGCTGGAGGTGTTCAATATCCACACCAGGGTGGAACAAAGTTCTATAGATAAATAGATAAAAATAATTATATTCTAATAACTAAATTAAATTTCAATTAATTTTTATAAAATCTATTTCAGGTATCCTTTATACAAATACCTCCAAAATGATTGACTGGCTTGATCAGAGTCAGTATTGCGTAGAGCAGCAGTCCCAGCTGATGGGCTAGACTCTCGGAAAGGACTGCGACGACCAGGACGTCTATACGTCTCTTCGACGTGGACGGCTGGTTCTGATAGATCAGTAGAGACCAGGATAACAGCAATATACAGATGGGCGAGCCAACGCACGTGGCCAGCCATTCGCCTACCTCGCTGCGCATCTCTGTCCAGAAAAAATTAGTAATAGTAACATAGTCTGATTGTTCCAATATCTTACTATAGCTGTTTCTTTAACAGCCAGATCAAGGACCGGTTGAGAATCACTGTTATAAGGATTTTTTTATCAAGTCGGCCAGTCTCAAGCCATTGTCTATAAGATTTTCGGTCCAACGTCTTGAGATGAATTTGTAAATTTTCTCTGTGTACACTGCGAATAATCCTGATTACTGTAATCAAGTCAGGTATACGTATACGGTTCTTCACGTGCATCGGATGATTATTAAGACACCATTTTCTATCCTCTATATTGGTATTTCAGAAGAAACCGGGTCGCCATCATTTGCAAACCGTTGACCGTCAAGTGAAAATTCCAGAAAGCCGGAAGCTATATGCTGCGCTTCCGGAAATAAAGGTCGAAGAACGCTCTTACGGGAGACGATGAGGAAATTTTCATGTTCTTTTTATGCATATACTATAGGTATACTATTTGATATATAGTTTATGTATATACAGATCATATATACATTCCGCATCCATACTTCATTACATTTAAACCCTCCTGTGCAAGTGGCACTGCAACTTTCTATTCGGCATGCCAACCGCACTCGCAATGGCGCTTGAGTTGATATCGGTGAGAGGAAAAGAAAATGAGGGATCAAAAGAGCTGAAACCGCGTCTACGTGAGATCTCGGCCTACAGCAACCTGTCTCTCCTTACACTCTGGTGTCCTGATATTCAAGAATTCAAAGTGTTGCAAAGGTCGACTAAAGAATTGATGATCTTGACAGAATTTTTACCCCATAAATCTCACCATCTATATACCTCCACGTCTTACGGTACAAACCTTTTATATAATCCATTTAATCTTTTTTAGATTCTGATATCAGCACAGATCTATGTTAAACTATACTGCGATGTTTTCAAAGTAAATTTCGCGTAGACAACATACATAAACACCCACACGTCAGTCATGCAGTTTGAATGGGTCCTAGGAAATATCAGAGTCCGCGACAAGAGTACAGGGACAACTACAGTACCCTGTAGAGTGACCTGGTAATAAAAGAAGAAGTAAAAAAACTGTGACACGGCCCGGAACGGGCCGCTCGAGTTGCTACATCGCGGCCAAGCCTGAAACCCTAAGCGCGAGACAGACAAATCCTGCAACTCTTCTGATACTACAGTTGCATACCACGTAGTAAACTATACCGTCGTTAGATATTTGTGCTAGTATCTATTTAGTATAGATACCAATAAGCCAATGAAACCAATATAAGTATCCTATAAATATAATACCTATAAAGCAATAGATTCACTATTTGTGTATGTAACGGTGCAGTTATCCTATAGCATATTTATCTGTACTATATTCGGTATACGGTATAAGTATATAACTTGTTATAGGTATAGTGTAGTATAGGATATATAACGATGGTATGCGGGAAGGTAGTATTAGCGATAGGAACACGGACTGCAGGCAGGCGTGTCGCTCGATTAGGTAGGAATGCTGAAAGGTGTAGAGGGGACCAAGGTCGAGAGAGAAGGTGAAGATAAAAAAAGGGTCGAAGGTAAGACGAACGACGAGACTGATGGAATCTCGTGAAAAACAGTCAAAAACCCGATGAACCAGAAAATTCAAAATTCTAGACCCTCGTCTTCCCATTAAGAAAATATTACTTGCGTCGATTTCTCTTCCGCATTTTTTTTAAAGAGAGAATTTCTTAATTTATTATCCATGCAATATGCCGAACATTCTCCGTAGAAATGTAGCTGGTCGTTTAATACATTGTTAATAGTTGTAGAAAAAGACCGATAAATTTCACAGGACCGACACAACATGTTATACAATCATATATACCAAAAGACGCCCAATGAGAATTTCAGAAAGATATTTTATCCAAAATTCGAGAGATCCTCAGGGTATAACGGTGTTAAACGTAGAACCTGCTTGAAGAACGTATAATCATTGGCACAACTTACTCTCTCTCTCTCTCTCTCTCTCTCTCTCTCTCTCTCGTTTCTCTTCTCTTTTTTTTCGTACACGTGTAATTGGTGAGACGACTAATTACGAATTGCTGAATCCCACTGTACTGTACATACACACCTAATAGAGTACGATATATAAAACAGTAGTATGTATTGAGTAGTTACATACGTGAAATATTTCGCATAATTTTAACATAGACATTCAACTATATCTTTGGAAGATATACTGTACAAGTAAGTCAGTGTATGATACAGGCGGAAATAACAATTGCACGCACAATTGCACTATATATGTATCCATGACGTGAGGTACGCAATACGCATCTAGATCCATATAGGTGGTTAAGAGAGAGAGAGAGAGAGAGAAACAAAGTGAGAGCTACCTCATAACGAACTCAGGGAACGAAACTACGTTTATGATTATGACCTTTAACCAATTAACACACTCGCCGTGAATAAGTGGGCGAGGGTATGTATTTGCGGGCTACCTAGTTATATAGTTATCATTCGTACAGAAATTTTCATCAGAAATTTCATCCAAAACAGCTATACATTGTGATGGTTTTACCTATTGTGGTTACACTGTATTATATATTATATACTTAGATATAGTATGTTATAATATAATACTGTGTATATAATACGTGTCTAGGGCAGATTGCGCGCTTATGTCTCTTTTACAGCTAACTCGGTCATGTGAAACTCGCTTCCTCGATCAGGACTCTTTCTCCTATAAAACATGGAGGATGGCGGTGTCGATACTTTGTTTTTTTACTTTTCTTTACCCTGCTTTATTCATTTTTCTATCTATTCTTGCAGTTTTATTATATTTGAGTCTGTCTTTGATATCCTCATTCTTAGAACACACCTTGGTATGTTATTCGCAGTGTAATTTGTCGTTGGATAGATTAAGAGATTTGGCCTTGCGTTTTTACGAGAACAAAGCGCGTATTACATGTTTTATTTATTTCTTATTGTTTCAGAAAAAAACCATGTCGGATACTTACCGCGTCTGCGTATTAATAACTTGTACGAAGATTTTTAGAAGATTCCATGAAATTCCAGTTCATTTTAATGGTTTGATGTAATTAACAAGAGTGAGTCCTTTTATACTCTGGTTATTCCAAGAGCGATATCGTCGCGACACTGGTTCACCTCTGCATCCTCTTGGTCGTCCCCTTTGTCGATGGGAACGACTCGCATCCTCTTCTTGTGAATCTTCTGGCTACCTCTTTTTCTGCGTCTTCGTCCTCTTTCAGAAACTCTAGCCGGGACGCTCTCGCGCCCGTGTATTTCGAGATCAGAAAGCCCGGCGCCGCGACGCTTTTAATGCCACTAACAGTACGCAACTGCATCCGAATTTCTCTGAACCCAATTTACACGCTGGTCCTCAACTAAGCGCAAGGACGATACTCATGATTACACAGAGAATCACGATTACACTGGTAAAGATTATTATTAATTTTAAAGATTATATTCAATTGATTAACGGTTAGCATTTGTACGGGAATACACTTCAAAATAAATCATTTTAGTGTTCTACACTGCACGACGAAGTTAAAAAATTGAATGAAAAATTTTGAGATTGTCAAAGCGTTTTAAAAGAATTGTCAAAAACTTTTCTGCAACTCTATTGCGTACAATATGGATCACCGACTTTTGTTATACCTGTTGTGTATCCACTCACAAAAGAAATTCTTCGGTTACATTCTGATTGTGATTTTTGTGTTTTGTAAACTGCTCTTAATTATCTACCGTCACAATGCACTTTAATAATTAATATATTTGTACAGATGCTTTCAAAGGACATTCGACACTTTCTTCTTGTTAGGTGAGAAATATGAAACTCCTGAGCACTCCTACCGCGTACGTATCCGCACCAATCCGCACCGGCACTGGCCGCTTACTAGAATACATTTGGGTCAGCAGCACAATGTAGCATAGCAGAACCCATAGTATAGTGCGTTTCAGGAATTGTATAGTCTGGGATGCTATAGTCGACTATAGGGAGCTATAGTTTATGTATTCCTTCCATTAGGTGAATGCATAACCCGAACTGTATATAGTAGGAACCATAGAAACCGTACAAAAGGTATGAGCCTCATTTTAGAGTCTCTATTTTGGTCAAATGTTTTTCTTTTTCAGATAAAGAGAACTTCCTGCTATGCGAAAATAGAGTCTCGTCTCTTATATGTCTTATTTGACAACGATACAGGGAAAAGAGAAAGACTCGGAGAACAATATTAATTCTACTTAAATAGTAGTTTTCATATTTTATTAATAAGCGTCAATGACATGCAAATCACTTGTGTTTAGAATCTAATGATCTGTGGTATCATGGATTTTAATCCAAAATGCCGGCACCGGACTTCAACTTATAAATGGTACATTTTCTGTAGAGAATCGTCCATAATCCTTGTAAATAGACTAATAATTTATTACAGTCCCTCAGAATGTTTTTGAACGTTTTTAATTCACGCTATATTGAGAACAGTAAACATCCTGCTTTCTACTCATGTTCAACCATTTTTTTAAATTTGACTGCGCGCATCATTTCCAATATTCGCTCTTAATAACAGTTTGTTCATCTTTGCTATTAGGATCTCAGGCACAGTGCATCATCTCAGGATTTATAATACTTGATCACACGTGGCTTTAGTTCCACGTATTTCGAATAGTCTAATCGTAGTACAGCGAAACTGCGATTAACAAAGACTCGCCGAAAGGGATGTGCGCTTCCGCGAAAGAGGATTGGACAGATGGACGATTTTCCGGCTTGCTTCTGACGTCCATTATCATTGACATCCCAAAGGTCCACCATTCTGCATCCTTCTTTACTGGATTAGACAGAATAAATAGTTCAAGATTGACCCAGGCACTTTGTTATATTACACTTATTATACTCACACTTTTCCAAGTCCAAAACAAAGAACTTCTTCGAGTACTACATAATCAACTTGCATAGTTTTAAGAATATCATACACCGATGCCAAATCATTTCTACCAAAAATTTGATAGACATTGATTGTACGTTCCCTTGATGAAAAAGCAGAGTTCAGAACTGGTTGTTTTAATTGGCATTAATTAATTAATAGATACCTCATTTCCTTATCCTCGTAATAAGGATTGTTTACAATTGGTCGTCCAGTCGATAACATAAGATTAGCCATAAGTGACATCTTCCCAGCAAAAGCTGCTGTCCTAGGGGTATTCTCTTTTATCCATTCAAAAAGTTCCTCCTGCTCTACATTACTGTATTCACCTGTAAACCAAGAGAAATATTTCAAAAGGATCCTGACGATAATAACGCCGTAGTTTGACATTACCAATAAATCCACGTTCCTTCTGGAGATTCTTTACTCCGTGGTATGCCATACCGGCTAATAATAAAAACACTAATGCGCCACGTATTTTCTCACTCCTTAAACCAACCTTCTCCAGATACTTTTTACTAGACACAGTGCCAGCAAAGAGACAAAGATGTGGTGTCATGAAAAGTTTTAGTCGCATTATGAAAACTGCCATTAGAATAAAAGCACCAGTCTGCAAGGCATTGTAGGCTACGTCGGCCTCCACCCACTTAAGATAATTTTTATTTATTCTATAATTTCTGTACCAGCTGTACACTATAAGGAATCCAGCAAGAATTGCGGATGGCAGGAGTAATGTCTTCACAATGATCTCATAGGTGTCATACTGAAGAAAATCAAACTCCACTGAACAAGTGTAAAGTAAGGTATGGAAGTCTTTGTAACCAGTCAACTTAGACCTAAGGATATTGAAAACATGGGCATCGTCCATTGAATCTAAGAGGTAGAATTTTAATAAACGTGTCAGTACGACTGTCCCGATCATCTCGAGGACTGACAGCTTGCTTTGGTCCAGGAAACGTGACACTTTGCTCAGCAGGAAGGCACTGATGTCGTTGCATATGAGAAGGCACGCGTACAGAGAGCAAACGAGAAACACGTTCTGTGTTATGATGGCCACGATAACCAAAGGCAACATGTGCATGAGAATGATATTGGAGTACAATTCCTTGGGAAGGATCATCAGCCACTTGAGAATTAGTAAGGCTATGATCTGAGTTGTGAATACAAATTGTGAAAATTGCCAAGTAAGAAGACTTAGCAGTGTTCCGATAAATATTCTCTGTGAAACGAATAGACATTTTAATTATTTGTTTGCGTGCAGATCTGTGCTTATTTCAGTTTGGAGAACTAACCAAATAAATTTTGTCACGACATGGATGTTTTATTGTCGTTTGTCCTGTTCGGTAGTCTTTTATAGCTACTGTGACGCTGTACATTTGAAAGAGTAATGCTGGGTAAGCAAAACTTTCGCGTAACGGCGGTGTCCATTGTACTCTTGTGCATTCATTATGATTATAAAAGAAGCAAAGTATTGCGATTGTCCCACCGTAGACAGAATCACTCAGACGACATCCATATAAAAATAATATTGCACCTGTGCATGCTGCACAATACCATACTATCTCTAGATAAAAGTAAACAGGCACTGCTAAACCTTCACAGCTTGTCACTGGTGGTAAATTATCTCCTCTCTCTATCTGAAATTCATTACAGAGTGAATAATTTATCTTGATCCTGTTTGGATATCCTGTAGTAAAGTAGGAAAACTTACTTGCCAGCACTGTTGCTTAGATAAAAGTCCAAGAGTTTTTGCCACATGATACAAGTGACCAATGATAATCTACAATAAAGACGTGATACTGTAATATCATTTACTCAAATATTAGACTAATAAATAAATGGAAAAATTACCTCAGGATACAAATTATATTTCTTAGATGCATCTATCACGTTAGGATACTCTGTTAAATTATCTCTGGTAATCCTTGAGAAACCTTCCATAAAATTCTTTGACTCGGATATCGTTTTATAATAGGAATAATACATCCCCTGAAACAAAACTATAAATGTACTTTATTTCAGATAAAAAAACTTCACAAAGAAACTACTGTACCGTACCATCTCTGTCCTGAAAGACATTTCTCTTTCAATTTCTGACAAATGTGAAAAGTGTCTGTCATTTTCAAAAAGTGTAGATACGTGCCACTGATGTAAAATTCCGAAACCAAGAGCTGTCAAAGCAAAACTAAATATTAAGAATTTCAAAACGGAACTTTAGTTAGGACTATACATGCATCCTCAGAATATGATACTAGTAAAGGAAACGACGAGTCCTCACCCAGAAAATATATGGCTAGTCTATAATAAATACTCGAAGGTTCTTTTCCGTTTTTATCTATAGGTTTTCGTTTACGTTCACTCCCGGTACGTTCACCCTTCGCCGCCATACTTAAGCATAAACACGTGACGATATTTCTTTGAGTTTCTGGCCATTGCTGCATGAAAGATGCAGCAACAAAGAGATGGTTGCAGCACACAGGCGCATCACGAACGTCACAGTACATTTCATTCTACAAAATGTATTAACACTTTACAAGTACAAACGAAGAAACAACATTTTTTCCTGGTATTCTTTTTTCATTCTATATTACAAACATTGTTTACAACGCCCAGAGTAAATGCAACCTATTGTTACACGCTGCTATCGGATATTTGTGGCCTTATACTACTTTTTTCTAATTACTAATAAATCAGTCACTTGCTGTACATTTAATAAGGTGCATACAATTATCATGTAGGGTAAACTTTCATTTAAACCATTATTTGAACTTTGTAATATTACAGTAAATTACGTAAATAACATTCATATATTTTGTCAGTGATACCAACTGTGTTCTGCAATGTCCATGGTGTTACAGCGTGTTTCAAAAGATACAGAAATTATGTATAGTCAAGCATTAAAAGACAGAGTGGCGTATATTACAGTTTATTGTTACTCTATTTTTAAGTAGAATAACGTAATTGCGAAATTCTGATAGACTACTGTGATATTGTTGATCGACGGAAGAAAGTCGCGATTAAAAATTTGGACGCTCGTCTTCCCGAGTGGTTCCAAGATTTCTTTGTTATTTTAGTCTTTTTTTTTCATATGCGATAAACGCGAAAATCTCATCAATTATCGCACAATTGATTATTTAATCTAATTAATTGGGAAAGAAAAAAATGATGCGAAAAGCGTGCAGTCTTTTACGAGGCTCTGTGAGTATACGTGCTGTGAGATTCCCTTAAACTGTACATAACCTCAAAAATATATACTTTAGGAATCTGTACGGAGAACTTGTGTTAGAAGCTTAAATTTAGTACCAGTCGTCGTAGAGCAAACTGGACGTGGTGAACGTGCTTATGATATTTATTCAAGGCTACTTAAGGAAAGGATAATATGTCTTATGGGACCGGTAAGTGTGATCTGACCCATATTTAATGTTACTTTGAATGTCATCGATAAGGATTCACTTTCTTCCATAGATCACAGACGATGTATCATCACTGGTTGTTGCTCAATTATTGTTTCTTCAATCAGAGAGCAGTAAGAAGCCCATTCATATGTATATAAATTCACCTGGTGGTAGCGTCACAGCAGGTCTTGGTATCTATGATACTATGCAATATGTTCTTCCTCCTGTTGCTACCTGGTGTGTAGGACAGGCTTGTTCAATGGCAAGTTTACTATTAGCTGCTGGTGCTCATGGTATGCGCCATTCACTTCCAAATGCCAGAATTATGATCCATCAACCTTCTGGTGGAGTGCAGGGACAAGCAACCGATATTCAGATACAGGCAGAAGAGATTCTCAAACTTAAGAAACAAATTAACAAGCTCTATGTTAAGCACACAGGACTGGATCTGCTGAGGATAGGTATGTCACTTAAGACGATTCGTTAATTTTGTTCCAGCTAATCCAATACAAATTTTATAGAGAATAGCATGGAAAGAGATAAATTTATGAACCCTACTGATGCCAAGGAATTTGGAATAATAGATAAGGTACTGGAACACCCCTTACAGGAAAGAGAGGAGAGTTCGTTGTCAAATATCTTGACAGAGAGTACTGTCGGTAGTACAACACCAGCATAAGTTATATGTTACCATTGTTAGACCTGCAGTAAACAAAACGTATGATACTATAAAAAATTTGTATTAATATTAAAAAAAAATAATATTTAATAAACATCGTTATAAACCCTAATTTTTCTTGTATAAATGCAGTCAAGCAAAGTATAATACGGTCGTGCTTATTCTGAACAATTACATATTGCGTATATAATATTTTTCAAATATTTTTCCTGTTTATAGTAAACCTTACAAGTTCAGAACATAAGCACGTATACGACTAACAAACGCGATGCGTCCATTCCGGGCGCGTTACGAAAATTACTACCAATGCTTCAAAAGTATTCTTTCTCAGACGTATATAGATAAATAATGACACGGCATTGCTAACAGTACTGGCAGTAAATTTTGGAACGTAACCCTAGTTTTATAATACAGGTCGTTCCAATTTGAATATATAAATCAGATAACAGTTGTCAAATATCACGAGTGCGTTTAGCAGAAGGAGTCCTGTATAAATATTGCATTATCGTATTGACGATTGAGTGAAACTTGTTGCGAGGCAAGGACATCCGTACTAGAATTTAATATGTACATAAATAAATTTGATATATTTAGTGCCGATGTAGACACGCTTAACGATCCCGATCGTAAGCGTGCCTACTGGCAGCGTGTCCGTCGCGGCGTGGAAGCTGATAGCGATCTATCAAACGCAATACAAGGCCAAGTGCAAAGAGCTCTCTGACCAGGACGGCAATATCGACTGTCCCTGGCCGCGAAAAGATAATAATATTAAGGCAAGTAAGATCACGATAGCGACAAGGACGTCGTCGTCTTCCTGGACTTCTGTTACAGCTAGTCCATTTTTTAATAACTCTTTTTCATTCAGTTGGTATCGACCTCAGGAACGACCACAGGAATATCTGATCGGTCTCATTGAGGACACACTTGTGCATGCGCTAGCATCAGGATGTCCTTCTTTTCTTTAGGAAATCTAAGTTCGCGACCTGCTAAGCGAGCGGTTTCTAATTCTCTCTCGGCCAGGGCTAACTCCATGGCGACGACGCCACCGCCGCTCTCGTGCTCCCTGGCTACCCAGTCTAGGGCCATTTGACTGCGCATGTCGTCATCCAGAGCACGGTGACTGTAATGTGCTACAACTTCTTGTCTGCTGCATTGTCGTTCTCGCATTGCTTTCAGGGAACCGTTCCAGTGGAGGAGTTGGAAGACCGTCATCAGTTCCTGAAACTCTAACATCGTCCTGCCGCGGTTACACTCCAGCATGAACCGGAAGGCACCGATACCTGTGTTTGGATCTTCTTTCTCGTCGCCACTTCCCTGATGGATATACATAGAAAACTTTGTTACACAAGTATTTTATATTTTTATTTAGGGTAAATTCATTTGTAAATGAACACCTTAAGAAACGCTTTCAGTGAATGGATATTCGTGTTAAAATCACTATGTATAGATATAATTTATGAGTGTTTCTATTTTCTGGTGCCTGTCCATTCACTGATGGAGTCGTTCTACTCGTTCGTGTAAAGATTATAGTTTGTACCTGACTGCCGACTCCGTTAGGCGTTGAGGACGGCTTGGCAAAACTGGCCCTAGCTTCAGCTACAGCCTTCTCGATGAAGTCGTCTGTTATTCTCCGGGATGGATGTTCATTGAACACTGAGTTCATCAGGGCAATTTTTGCTGCTGATCGACGTGCTTCTGCTTTCGTGGGACAGTTTTGGAAACTACCAAAGCAAGAACCTCCAGGTAGTGTCACATAGCATACGTATGGAGGACTCGCACCAGGTACAGATTCATAGATGACAAGTGCTCCATTTCGCAGTTCTGTACCTCGACTCTGCTTCATTTGCCAGAACTCCTGCAGTGCCTCCACCACATTCACTAAGAAGCAGAGAAGATATTGTATGAACACTATATTTAATAATTTCTTATTAACGTACCTCTCCCATAGCCTTGCGTGTGCTTGGCAAAACTGTTCACCACAGCATCTACTGCTTCACGCAACACTTGCTTGGCTTGTGCATCCACCAATCCTCCTGCAACACCCATGCTCTCTGGGACACGAGACTTTGTCTTAGCTGGCATCACACCCTGCATCACCCACTCGTTCAGCAATGCCCAATCATCTACCCTAAAATACCACATTCCATTCTATTCCTGCTACGCATTAACTACAAAGTTAGAAAAAAACTTTAAAATTTGCAACAAATAATATTACCAACAGCATCCAGAAGTTACGTTAATCTTTGTATATTATAAAAAACTGTATGAATTAATTATACTCCAATCCTAATTACAGCAGTAACACCCCAAAAATGCAAAACTTTCAATTAGTATTCTAATTGCACATATAATAACAGTAAATTTAAAAACCACAAACACATTAATTTTCTTAATCACGCAGCATCTCAAACAAAGACATAGAGGCGACATGAAGAAATATCCTGGAATCACATAACGCGAGAAATGATTTTTGTCTCGCTATCAGAATCCACGAACAAAGAAGAAAAAGACCATTACTATATCAATAATAAAATTTTAAAGAAACGAGTCACGAGTAACACATAAACGTAGAAGTAACAAACTAATTAAAACAATGAACAGTTTTAATAATGGATGACTTGAAGATTCACAAAGGTGAAATCCTTCTATCTCGGGTGTCACTTCTAAAATTGTTAGCAGTACGTACCCAAAAAGGTGTCGTGGAAGTTATGTTGTCTCAAGGTAGACGTACCTGGTGTCCCAGGTATTCTCTTGCAGGTATAAGAACGAAAGCTTCGTCTGGAAGTGAAGTCTCAAGACAGAGGGTAACAAGAGGCAGCTATTGAACTCTCTGGATGACGACACCAGAAAGAGTATCGACAGGAGGAAAGTAGAAGCCGATGTAGGCCCACCTGCAGAGAGCCGGACGGTCAGGAATTCGCGTAAATTAGTCTGCGATCGTTGCAGCGCGCGTTGCGGGATCAAATTGCAAGACACATATAACGCGTTTAATGGCCCCCGGACCACTGACGATTTCCAGAAAACCAGGGCCGACTAGCACTAGGACAGGTACCCTCAGTCACCTAATACTGGACCACCGTATATTGAATGGTACCTTCACGGATAATTCCTGTAACATACTAGGATTCAATACCAAATGATGTATCAGACTTGATTATTGCCTGGATATGTCAGTTGGGAGTAACCAGGATTGACTTTTCATCTTATTTTTTATTTAGTCTCCCGTAGGAGACAGATCCTCGTTGTACCTGTAGCTTCTGCCATATCAGAAGGCATTGTCCTCTCAAGATATTCTGTGGAGAGAGACACAGAGAGAAGAAATAAAAGTCAAAGACTACATTTCTGCCTCGAGCCAGCCCTGCATCCCAGCAGTGGTTCTCCATACACTCATGTCCTCCAGATAGATCGGTAACCAATCTACCTGCCTTCCTCTTTTAGTTCTCACGCGATTCGGAAGCCAAGGAGTAGTGGGACGTGTATATACAAGAGAGGTGACATCGACGAGCGGGTAGAGCATATTACAGAATCCCATAGCATTAAATAATACTTTGATCTAGAGTAACGTCAGAAGTGTTTGAGGTTCGTCAGCGCCGTTTAGCGGAGGTTTCATTAAGCTGTTATGATAACCTGTAAATGGTAAAGTAGATAACTATATATCCAACATTGTATCAGATATTTTTATATTTTCTAAATAAATAATTTTTACTTCTCCGTCCTTCACGAATTCATCGATCTTTATAAAAGTTTAGAGCATGATTTCTATGATTTCTGATCCCAAGGAATTGCCGCCATTCTCATTTTCCCAGGCGTATCAAATACGTGGCAGGACGTCCTTTGACGTTTACTGCTCAGCATGTGGGGGCGAAGAGGGGGGCGATTTACGCGCGTACGTTTCCCGCGTGGTTGACCTGGTGTGAGTTCTCACGTACGGGAACGATCAGCTGAGCGCCAGCTGTGCAATACTCTAGCGGCCAATCGCATTAGCGTCTTAACCAATGAGATTCAGCCCCACCGCCGGCCATAGCCTATCGATGCACTACCGGTCTGCTCCCGCTGCCGCTGAAGCTTATTATTGCTGGTGCTGCTATTCAGTGTGCGGGTATCTCCCGCGAAATGAGAACGCCAACGCCAATAAGCCTATAATAATCTCAGCAAACTTTTATTTTAACTGTTTCCCTGGTTACCCAAGCTCAACCTAATTGTGTCCGGATAATTCCTTAGTGATTTGTGTACGAACAATCGTGAAAACTGACTGTGAAACCGCTGGTGTTCGTAAACTTAAGTGGCGGGTGTTTGCTGTCCAACACACGCCAGACCTCATTCCTTTCTGGTAGATTTGTGCAATATTTTTTTACAAGATTTGCACTTTTCACGTTAAGCCACGCTCCAGGGGATTGCAAGAACCTTTAACGAGGTGAACAGGTGGATATTTGTGGGACAAAAAAGAGTATTTTTGTGGAAAAATTGGGAAAAAGTGTCAAGCATTGCGAGTGCTACGTCGGCGTGGCAGTGGCATACGGAAAGGGTTATTTTACATGGTTTTTCATGAAATTTTATAGTATTACTGAAGCTGATGGATGGGTAGACGTCCGTTAAGACTCGGCGGGAAATCTGGGAAAATTTTGGTTATTTTGGAGGTTATGTTATGTGTATAGAGGGCGTGACAGTGGCAAACTGCAAGCAGGGGTTGGTCGTCTTTTCGCGCGCTAGACTCCCGCGCTTCGAGAGCGCGCCCCTACATTTTCGCGGAAAAATTTCACTCTGTGCTATTTTTAAGGACTTGTCGAGCCTTCCAAATTCACAGGAAGATTTATCGAGAACTTGGGCGCAGTCAGATTTATTAACGACTTTTTACAGCGAGTCAAAATTGAGCCAGAGTACGTGCATTATGGCGAATGCTTGAGTTGACCGTAAGTCTCGCGCGCTCTCACATTTTTTGGTTTTTTCTGAAGAAAATCTCTTCGTGATTAGAACCAAACTAGTGTGAAACATCTAGAAAAGTTCCCTTGTGTTTGTTAAGTTAATTGAAAAGGATCGGGCAGTTTTATGTATGCTGATACGAGTCCCGGAATTGCCAGCAAGATGCCACAGACTAGGTGGGTGACGAACATTTTATCTTACTTGAACTCTTGCCTTCACTTCATATTTCTCATTCCTTATTTTCCTGGGTCTCATCAAAATGTTTATTAGCGATCGTGAGATCCTTGGAGAATATCATTTTAAATCTTTTATCTACATTTTTGGGCGTATAACCTTTCCCAGGTGGGTTCTTCTTCTAAGCACTTTGCACGAGGGCTCCAAATATTTCTTATCAATTTCCATGTAGTTCATGAGGTCAGTGAAGAATAAGAAACGAGTTCATTGCTTCTGGTCTATATTCTTTGTAGTTCAGGTCACTGAGACAGCCTTGAAATTAAATCACGTACCTGAACACATTCTTCTACTTTGAATGAAACATGCATATGTTTATAAGATTTGGGAACATCTGTTGGACCCAGGGCTTTATTAACACCTGGTTCCTGGTGTGTTTAGTTTACAGGAGAAGCAACCATCACAGTTACACCTACAAGGAAGCAAACCAGCTTCACTTAAGCGGAAGAGACGAAATACAGAACTTTCTGAAGACTCAGAGAATATTTACCCTCCTAGTAAAATTTCAACCCTTGCTCACTCTCCTTATTCAGAGTCCTGTCACAGTGGGTCACATGCCAGTGATGGTTCCCGTACACCGCAACAGCAATCATCTCCCTTGAAGGAACAACAGGGACCGGCAACATGGTCAGAGCTCAGAAGTTCAACCTGTTTTCTAACTCCCTCAGCCTCTAGCAGTGAATCTAATAGACCAAGTCCATTACCAACATTACCTTGGGCCGATGGATCTCAAGTGTGGGCCTTGATGTGTCTTGGTGACCAAAAAACTTTAACTCAAAGGGATCCTCAGATGTTTCAAAGGCATCCCACATTACAACCTCGAATGAGAGCCATTCTTCTGGATTGGTTGATTGAGGTGTGTGAAGTGTATAAACTCCATAGAGAGACTTACTATTTGGCTATGGACTACATAGACAGGTATCTGTCAACACATCAAAATGTACCCAAGAATCAGCTGCAACTTATTGGCATCACCTGCTTATTCATAGCTGCCAAGGTTGGTATCATGTTATATGAAAAATCCTTAACCTTTCTCATCAAAAAATCGTACAAGATTGAAACAAATATTAATTTTTCTACAGGTCGAGGAAATTTATCCGCCGAAGATCGCAGAGTTCGCCTATGTGACAGACGGTGCCTGTACCGAAGATGAAATCCTAGGCAAGGAGTTGATAGTTCTAAAGGGATTAGGCTGGAACCTATCACCAGTGACTGCTCCAGGATGGCTCAATATATACATGCAGGTTGAATCCGGTGATTGGTCCAGACCCAACACTTTCATCTACCCTCAATATGGTGGACTACAGTACTCCCAAGCAGCGCAACTCCTAGATCTAGTGACCTTGGACGAGAGAAGTCTGAAGTTTCCCTATAGTCACTTGGCAGCAGCAGCAGTCTACCACACCCAAGGAAGAGAATGCGCACTACGTGTTTCTAGACTATCTTGGGAACAGCTAGCACCTTGTGCACGTTTCCTCAGTGCCTTCGCCAACACAGTCGCTGAAGAAGGTTCAGAACTGCTCTTACGATCGACTGTGCCTCCCGTAGAATCCCACAGCGGCTCCGGGCTTCGTGCTTCAGTGCCAAACATCGTTATGGATGAGTCCCATCGTATACAGACTCACGTTGTCGACCTGAACATGCTTGAAAAAGCTCAACAACGGCTTGCTACCGAGGGGCTCACCCTGGAGCCAATAGAGCGAGAAACTAACCTCGACAACATAGCAAGTCCAAATCGTAGTGGAATCTTAACCCCTCCATCAAGTAGTCAAAAGAGCTCTCCAACTCCACCACGTCTACCACTTCAGTTACATCCTTATACATAACTCTAGTAGCAAAAAGGAGGCGAGAAAAGCGTCACTCCATTTTTTTTGTTGTAAAAGCCCTGTTGAACTCTACAAAAGTCTATTTACAATGCGCGACAAGAAACTTCTGTGTCGCGCAATCACTCGGCCTATCAAGGATCGACTACCTTGAGGTATATCTATTTACTTCTCTCTGTCAAGACTCTGAGGTGAGTTGTTATCCCGGCGAGCGGTGCTTCTATCTCAGTGATTTCCGTCAATGACCTTCCCCCAGGATACCTAGAGAGACATGTACAACATTGATAACATTACTTATTTCTATAGTGTATAACGCCCACGACAAACCGTTATCTTTTATAACTTCCCTAATTAACAGTGGTTTTCAAACCCTGGACGAGTTCGTCATGGCGCGTTAAACCATCAGGTCTGTAATTGTTCTTCCCTAGGGATTGAGCTACGACCTCTGACGCAGTGTTGTCTCGCAGTGAATTAGAAATTTTTGTCGATAGGCGATAAGTTGTCTTTAGACATTAGACATTTAAAGTCCTACCATAGGATTAAGTTATTGTAACCCTTCCCCGTCGGCTTCATGCCAATTCGCATAGACTTGATCAAGTAAGTCCACACGTGTTGAGGAAGACGCGAAGATCCACTATAAGGATGAGTCTTGTTTCACTTTAGAATTTTTACAGCGGATCTTTGCTGTGCTTTTATAACATTTAGTGGACGGTTCGCTGTTATAGGTTAGGCGACACTAAGTCTTCTATGCGACTGATCAGTAAGACGCCACTAATAAATAATACAGTGGTTGAACATGATGCAACAGATCAATGCTAAAGTGCCTTTACACAACACTATTGTTTTTATCTGTCGGATTTGAGATGAGAAAGAAAAAGGACTATGTGAATAGTATTCTTTTATATGATTTGCTTTTTTAACGCTGAGTAAGAATCATTATGATGATGCTAAGTATAATAGTGATTGTGCAACGCGCGATATCAGACCATATAAAAATGTTAAAGGATTTTATGTATATAGGCGAGAGATGTCATATCCATTTCTAACCTCTTTATAAGGTCCGTGAGTTCGTCCCAGAGCTTGCATGCCGTGACGCACGAGTTATACAAGCATTTGTATGGAGATAGTGACAATAAATATTTTGAAATTGTAATTGCTATACCTTTTATCTTTACGTCTTATCAGAATGTGCATACCTTTCCTACTTATTTTTACCAATAACACTATAAGTAGCTTTCATCTAACATAATCAAATCTTTTCGTGCATCCGCAGCGGTCCAGCTGCAATGGGTTGGAATTAGTTGGAATACAAAACGGTGGCGCCGTGTTAGCAGCGCCATCTGCTTCAAGCGTAACTGGCAAAATCCGCTCATCTCATTGGTTAATTTGTTTCTATTCAAGTTGTCAAAAACCAAACAACCGTTGGAAAAGCCGCCCAGTGCTGAATGTGCTTGTAAAGCCTTGCGTCGAGTCGTGATTGGTGCTAAGTGATTATAAATGTTAATATCGTACGACAAAAGCATCCCTAAGCAGTGTACGTGAGGAAACGTGGTCCGTGCGACATAATAAAACAGTGCGTTTGGAATTATTTCGTCCAAATTAAAATTTGATCGAGAATACCGGTGTGAATTGGCAAGGATTTCAAAAGTTCATCCACCCATTTCTGCTGAAAAAAAATCTCTGGAACATTTCCAGGTATGATTTTCGAGTGTCAAGATAAAGGATTTATCAGTATAAACTAATTGGAGAATAATTATATGACAGCGGTCTCGTCATGTCCAGTCCTAGAAGCATGAAGACTGTAACGGCTCGCGAAGGGACTCGCGTTATTTTACGTGAGATCACAGGAACGCTTCAGAATTCACCACCAATTCAAGCATCTCGACGTAAGGTAAATCTTTAATTTTCTATGATCTCTTTGTCTTTTGACATTCACGCACGAGCATAACTACGCAGGGTTGCAACCTTGTAGTTAGCGTCTGTACCCCGTGTCGTGTGTTTATATAAATAAACCGTGGGATCAGTTGACGGCGGGATGTAAAAATAAATAATGCCAAGTCCTACTGAAGAATTCCAATGTCTGGCCTATAAAGTTCGTTGCACTCTATATTCGCCGAATGCACCTAAAGCGGGTGATCATTTCGTCATAATATATTTATTAGTATTCTAGAGATCGTGTCCCGCATGAAAGATTGATAATGATTTTAACTCTTCAATGACGATTCCTGCGTTACCGACATCTCTGATCTCACGTACTCCAATTACTCATTGGATAAGTTATCAGCCGCATATCATTCACTACTAGTACCTGTCATTCTCCAAGAGATGTTACTCCAATAAAACGTTAAACACTAGAGCCTCGCGCCGTCTTATACTCTGGTATATGTGCATATCAATGGTCCTTGCATAATCGGTTCTCTGTATCCCGCGTGTGCGCGTTCATCGCGAGCGCCCCGCGCCCACTCGCATATGTGTCCAGTGTTAGTACGAATGAACCTAGTGCGCCTATTAGAATCAGTGGCAGTGACTCCTGAAAGCCAAGAGTCTCTCTCTGCCAGTCAGATCCAAGGATCTCAGCTGTTGATCGAGTAAAAACAGAGGAGCTCCAAAAAAAGAAAAGTATCTCAAGATCAGAGGCGAGCACGAGGTGTCGATTTTTGTACGTTTCTAACTGTCACTACTTATATTGTTTTCCTTCTCTATTTATTTTCTTCTCTTTTTGGCTTGTCACTCCTCGGGGTAAACGCGCCGTGACAAGGTGAGAGACACTACCGCTCTCAGTGGCTAAACGTGTGGTTTATTGTGAGTGGAGTTGGAGTAGCAGCCTATTACATGCGCTACCATTCTCATGTGCACCACGTACTCAGAAGGAACCGAGGAGAATGCGGCTGCTACTCTAATATTAGAATACGTGTGCCTCTACCGCCCCATCGTACTCTGACCCTCGACCCCACTCCGACACCTTGGACGTTATGGGTCTACCAAAATCGTCTAATGGCTCTTCCATTGACTGTCTCGTTCCTTGTGGATGTCTTCGCACGCCGTGGCAAAGACCTGGGTCACACCCTGGCGTTCTTAGATCCTCGCGATTTCTACCAGATGGTTATGAGTCACGTTCCTCTGACACATGCCTACACAGTGCTTCGACGCACGCACACATCTACTTATTCTGCTGCTCCTTCTGATACTCATTCTCATACCGAGTGTCTTGCTTCGTGACCATTTATGGCTTATCAGGACGACTGACTCTTTCCACGTTTCTGTATTTGGAGACCGTCCGATTTTCAGCGCTTCGCTGTGGACTTTATTGTGAAATGTCATAACATTATTGTGGATTATATTTTTACATGGAGATTCCTGTTGCTGCGTTTATTATGTATTTTCTGTAAGAATCAAGCGGCCACTTGGAGTAATCAAGGTATAAGGACAAATTGTCATTACTCGTTATTTCTTTAGTCATCGTTCTCGCAGAAGTTACGTCAAACGCACTTGAGCTTTAGGGTAGCGTCATTGATGTGGAGAAAGGTGTAGGTCATGGTCGTTCGGAAAAATTGTAATTTTTCTTTGCTATCTTATCGACCAAGCATCCTCGCTGTTCCTATGGAGCGTGAAAACGGACACCGGGTGGAGGAAGACGAAGGCGTTCTATGCTTTTTAGATGGATTATTTTTCTATGTTGTTTTATACTGTGTCTCTTCTACTATCTCAGGTCTCCTTCTCCTTCACTCTACCTCGCTGTTTCTCTCCTACTCTTATGGCAGGCAGACCCTTTCAGTGGGGGAGACGGTGCTCGTTTCCTGACTCTCTGTGGGGTTCCACATATAAACACGATAAATGTGGAAGCACCACGTGGCAGTGACAGCCGAAAGCAGAGATCGTCTCCCCAGACGTCATGGGGAATCGCCTGCATAAGGAGGTATCAGCCACAGAAGATTTACTTCGCTTAAAGAATTCCTTTGAGTGCTACTCGCATTTTTCATTCGATTCAATTTTACTTTTTTCATTTCTTGTATTTTCTCGTTTCTTGGTTCATCACTTGAACCGCGTTAACCTGAGTCGTAGAATAGTTTTAATAGATTTTTTCCAGCACCGTTTGTAGGACACTAAGACGACAGTTTCACGAGCTGAGGACCAAGCTGTGCAAGATCACGCAGCTTGCGCTGCACTGATCCGATATTCGCGAACCGGGACAAAGCGAAAAGGCTTCATGAGCGATTTTTATAATTAGACGTGGCTAGGCACGCGCCAGGTGGTTGCGCAATTCTCAAGCGAAATCCCACGACAGCCTTCGACGTCGTCAGCTGGGACTTGCTCTAGTAGCAGTTTGTCTTTAGTGATACGTCGAAGCTCGAAGGGAAGAGCTTCCTCTGACTCTGGTGCACGATATGGATTATATTAATCGATTGTTGCATCGTCCCACTACCCCATCTTTCACCCTGGCAAATCCTGTTATCGAGGTAGTGTAACGTAAGACGCAGTTTTGGAGAATCCTGTACACGTCATTAGGTTGTACGGTTATTGCGTCTCATGTGCTCTGTACTACGTGTCCAATTGCAATGCTCCTGTTGGTTAGGCTTTTGAATATTCTCAGATGTATTAATGATCTCTCTTGATTTTTTTCAGAGTGGCAACGACACTACAGCGGCCAAGGAGACGGGCCAGGAAGTGAATGTCCAGTTCAACAGAGAATTTGTCGACGTTGGTCCAGCATCCTTTTCATCAGTACCAGAGAGCATCTCTTCGGCGAGCAGCTTCCAAAGTTTGGCGAGTACACTCAGCTCCAAGAGCAGCAGTGGAATCTGTGTCGATTCAGTGCCTGACAGCCCGCAGAAGGAAGTTGACACTTCGTATGTAAACCGGGATATTATTGGTCTTGACGACCTTGTGCAAGCCTGCAGTAACATACGTATCGCTGATCCTGAGCAAAATCAGGTTCAGGATGACGAAAAATCTGAGAAATTACATTCTTCCCAAGACCTTAGCCTGAATCAAACCTTCACCTCGGCCACGGATGATATCTTATACACTGACTCCAAGTTTTTCGACAGTTCCGAGACACAGGATAGTTCTCGTACGGAAAATTCTGGTTACTTGGAGGCGAAGGTCTCGCCAGGAAAGGATAACTTGTTCAACGGCATCGAAGATAGCGGTTCCTCGAATGCGACTACAGACGCAAAGCAGCAAAGTGATTATTTCGAATTAAGTGAACCGGTTCCTGACATCCAAGAACAATCTACTCTGTCCAAGGAGTCCAGTCTAGTCGGCAGCACCGTTGATGCTGATACCTCCTGCGAGAAATTACATGCCCTGTTGAATGCAATTCCATCCGAACTTCCGTCTACGGACAGCGTACTCAAGGAACCCTCTTTGCCGGAGATCTCGTGCAGCTCCTCGTTGCCAATAGATGAAAATGTCGGGGAGGAGAGAGCAGAACGCTACATAGAAAACGTGGAAGAGTCGACAGAAACTAGAGCAGAAAACGTTACCGAGTTACTGAACTCTGTATCCGTGTCTGTGTCCGCGTCTACGCCTGAATTCGTTCATGAATCTACGACGCAATTCTCCGCTGATTCCGCGTATAGATCAGTGCAAGAATCCGTACCGGAATTAATTTCTGAACCGAACGCAATTAACAGATCGAGTAACGAATCAGTACACGATTCTATTTTTGAAGCGATTCCTGAAACCATTACTACATCTCTAGTTAAATCAAATACTATATCCGCAACCATTCCTGATACGATTCCTGAATGTTTAACTAAATCCGTTGACGATAACGTACCGGCCTTGCAATCTATATCTACATCTATTTCTGAAATCGTACCTAAATCCACTCCTGAATTTAAAGAGCAGGTCAACGTTAAACCTGTTTTTCCAATAAGTTCTACATCCGTAGAAGAACTTTTTGCGAAACTTATATTGGCGAAGCCGATTTTGAGTTCTGTATCTGAATCAGTTGTGATACCATCAATTGAACCACTTGTGGTACCAGTGCGTGAACCAGCTGTGACACCAGCATCTTTACCAATTTCGGTACCAGTGCCTGAATCAACTGTGGTAGTATCACCTAAACCAGTTGCGGTATCTGCGCCTGAATCTATTGCAGTATCAACAACTGAATCAATCGGGGTACCAGTGGTTGGACTAGTTACGGTATCTCCTCTAGAACCAGTTGCGATTTCAGCTTCTGAACCAGTAGTGGTATCAGTTCCTGAACCAGTTGCGTCATCAGCTCCTGAACCAGCAGTGATATCAGTTCCTGAACAAGTTGCGTCATCAGCTCCTGAACCAGTAGTGATATCAGTTCCTGAACCAGTTGCGTCACCAGCTCCTGAACCAGTTGCCGTATCAGCTCCAGAACCAGTTCCGTTATTAGCTCCTGAAACAGTTGCAGTATCAGCTTCTGAACCAGTTGTGGTATTAGTTCCTGAACCGGCAGAGACTCCATTGCTTGATCCAATTGCTGTACCAATAGTTGAATCAACTGTTGTACCAGCTTCTGTATCAACTCCAGTATCAGGACTTGAACCAATTGCGGTGACAGCGCCTGCGCCAATCACAAAAGCTGCGTCAGAACAAATTCCAGAAACTCTCACGAAGAACGCACCAGAACCTGTATGTCAGCCAATTGCGGAATCTGTAGCAAAAAGGTCGATATTAGAAAACTCACCGGTACCACCACAACCAGAATCGATTAGCGGATTCGCATTAGAGACTGACGTATCAATCGTAAAAACTGATACACTGGGAGAACAGACAGCAAAGGAAAAATTGGCACAACTGGAAGCCCAACAGGGTGATGTTTTAATTCCTGAGATACCGGATCTCGACGACACTCTCACCGATCTGCCGGAATCCTTGATAATTCCACCGGACTTGGATCAATACATAGCTTTTAAACCGCAGCAACAGAGCACTGGCCTATCATCGGACATCGATTTCGATAAAATCCGTTTGGCCGCTAAAGAAGTCGCCAATAAATTTCAGAATTCATCATTTACTGTCTCGGAGGAGCCTGATCAGTTCTTCAGTGCCACTTCTGAATGTAAGTAAAAAATAACAGTATTATATGACGAATAACGTCATTAATATCTTACATGCTAATTATTATTATTCTTCAATTATCTTTCCAGTATTTGAAGATCCGGCCAGTTTTGATTATTTACTTGAAAGAGGTAACAACAAGCCCTGTCCACGTAACTTAAGGCTTGACTCTCTATACGTGAGATTCGATCCTCTTGTGTCAAACGTCAGTATGTTACCAAAAGGAAATATCCAAGCACTCGTTGAGGAGCAAAATGGTAAGGGTGACACCTCGACGGAGGTCATCGACACGCCGAGGAAGAGTTCTGCCCTGGCAGCAATAGACAGACTTCAGGCTTCTGTACTTTATAGCCCACCAGTAGCACGAACGCCGCAAAAGCCAGAGGTGGTTCAACCCAAAGCAGTAAGCTAAACCTTAATTATTATGTAATTCTATAAAAATATAATTACATTGAGTTATAATACGATGACATTCTAATATTAGGAACCGGTAGAAGAGCCAGTCAACGAGACGGCTCCTCTGGTGGAAGTTAACCTGGTCAAGGAGGTGGAGCAGGTTAGAATAGTGGTTCTGCAATTAGAACAAGAACTTGATATACAGAAAAAGGAATATGAAGACAAGTTGGAGAAACAGAAAATTGCTTACGAAGAAGAGATCAGCCGATTGCAAGCACAATTAGCACAGGAAGTGAAGAATTCTAGTCAGATGACGTGAGCTCACTAATTCTGTCTATTTAATTTTCTTCTCTTTTGATAAAGTTTCATAATATAACATTACTCGGTGGTACTGCTTAGGGTTGTCGTTGACGAGTACGAGAAATCCATCAGCCGCCTAGTTGCTGACCGCGAGAGAGATCGTGTCAAAATGGAAAAAGAAAAAGCGAAACTTCAAGAGGATTTGCAAACCACAAATAGTCACTTAAGCCACGCTGAGGAAGCATTCAACGACGTACACCAGAAGTATGAGAGGCTCAAGACTATCCTAGCTGGTTTTCAGAATAACGAGATTGTACTGAAGCAGAGTATTCAGGATAATCAAGAAACCATTAAAAAGCTGGAAAGTCGATACGAGCAGCTCAAGAATCATGCGATGACGCAACTTGAAAAGTAATTAAAGAATCTTTTTCTTTTGTCATTTTCATATAAATATTTTGGCGCATCTATTTTCACGTTTTTCACATTTTAGGGCGAATTTGGAACTCGAAGGAAGTAGGAAGCAGAATGAGGCGGAAACTGTGAGACTTCAGGCGATGGTAAAAAAGGCAGAATTAAAGAGCAATTCCTTGAGTGAACTTGTTGAACAGAAAACAAAGGAGAACAAGGAATTAGCCAAGATCTTGGACGAAGTTATTGCGAGAGTCGGTGGCCCGAACACGGTTTAGAAACAGAGGGATCGTAGGGTTGCTTATTTTTTTACTCAAATGGATATTAGCACTGTACAATAAGTTTTATATAATATAATTATAATAGTGTATTATTTTCTAGAGTTATCCATTCAGATGAGGCATTGTGCATTAATTTATTGGTTGTAAGATACATGTCTTCTTTCTGCATATATATATATATATAAAAGTAAATTTACCCTCAGTATTCTGAGACTTCGCGATTATAATCCTTCATTCATTACCCACGTAACCTGGTATTTAATCTGCAGTCACGCGGCTCCACACGTATGAAACAAATGTGGACTGTAAGTAGCTAAACATTCAGAAGACGTGATTTCCTGTTAAGGCATTAAAACTGTACCTGTTTACGTTTAAAATCCATTAATTTGTATAATCTATTTGCTCGACAATTTGATCAGGAACGTTTGATTTATCAACAAATTTTCTAAATACTTGTGTTTATAATTTCTATCATTGCTGAAATTTTGTATAGGGTGTCCCATGGAATGTTGCAATAAGTAAACGACTCTTATTTTTTAATGCATGCATGGAATGGGATTTTATAAGGCACCAGACCACGGTGCGCGCGCGGTACGAGGGTGTATTTTTAATAATTTTTTTCGAGCAAACGATGAATGGTTATTTTTTATTGATACTAATATTTAATATATATATATAGAAGATTACACAGATTTGTTTATTCGAATCTTCAGAATAGTTTGCGGTGTACGCCGTTTCCAAAAAGACACTCCGATAAAGTTGCTGCTTAGTGGTTGACAGCAATTGAGCCATACGGTTCATCTGAAAGATACAAAAAAATATATTTATAAACTAGACATATAGGTTTATAGCATCACGTAGGGGAATTTCGATACCTAAAAAAAAATGGCGGACCAGCAAATTTTATTTCCCATTTTCACAGAAAATTTTCATCGTTTAAGAAGAAAAAAAAACAGAAGGGGGCCTTTTATAAAAAAAATCTCTACGCGATGCCATAGAGATTGGATTTGCGAACATTTTAAGACTGGTACATGCAAATCGGATGAGTAGTTTTTTAAATATGTTGTCAACCACGTTTAAAAACGTAGTTTCGAGAAAAACGCGTTCAAAGTTTTGTTGAAGGATAATTCGACATACAAACTAAATTTTATATCTATATTTCTTGTTTTGTTTCTCACCATCAGTCTGCTATTCCTGGACCATAGAACAGCTCCTCAACGTCCAGAGACTCATCATTTTTTCCGTGCTTTGCACGCAGACGACCCTCATGCGTGTTTTCTTCAGCTTCGTGCTCGGCGTCGCATATCCGTTTCTCATCAATGTTTAGACAATATTGGTAGAGTGCTTCACCAATTTTTATTTCCAATATCTCCAATAAATTAATGAGGCCAATATGACAATTGTTGAAAAGTATTGAAGCATTATTAGCGGCAGTTTCAACTGTGGGTCTGTCGCTCCACGACGTCTTTGGCGCAAATTTCCAAAGTGAGCACATTTTCAAAGTGAGCACCATTTAGAATTTGCAAAATAGTCAATTCTTTTGCGGAAATTGTAGAAAACACGCTTTAACATATCTGTTTTAATACCACTGCCCACTTTTTTTATTGCCGTGATTAGTTCTACCTTTGATTTGGGGTTTTCGGCATAGCAGTGGAGCTTGCTGTACCTTGAGTACTTCCGTTGTGCGGTGTGGTGCTGCTCCGTCCTGCATGAAATGGAAATTTTTCACTAGGCTCCTTTTCTTTGCGTGAGAAAAGAATGTTGTCTCCAACAATTCCTTGTAACTTTCTGCCGTGACAGTAGAATCCAAGACTTGCAGGAAACTTCCCTTTACTGAGATTGCTACCCATACTGTAATTTTCTCTGGATGGAGAGGCTTCGCAGACGTGACGTTAGGATTTTCTTTTCCCCAGAAACGATAATTCTGTTTGTTCACGTATCCGTTTAACCAGAAATGTGCCTCGTCTAAGAAAATAATTGCATTCTCGTTCAATTCTTCGTTCTCGAACATCTGTGTCATATTTTAACAGAATTCCACCCGTTTGACCATAGCATCTTGTGTTAATAACTGATGTGTCGTTATTTTGAACAGATGCATCTTCAAAAAATGTTTAAGGATCCTGTGTAACGTTGTCTTCGATATATTCAACGTTTGGGCAGCTTTTCGAACGGATGCATTGGGATTTTCGGCAAAATATTGCTCAACATCCTCTAATGTGTCTTCCGTTATCACTGAATAGGAAAGGCCCGGATTATCATGTCTTCAGTCCTGGAGCGTGCCGTGTTGCACAAAGTTATCGATCACTCTGCAAAATGTTTAGTTTCAATTATTTTTATACCGTATAATTGCCAAAAATCGACATGAAGTCCACATGCACATGGATATTATAAACAAATACCAGTACACAGGTTTTCATTAGCAACTCTATGTGTTCCAAATTTACTTCGAAAGCCTCTAAAAGCTTCACGGTATACTTTTCCTCTAGAAAAGTAGCATTCAATAAGAAACACCTTTTCTTCCGTTGTTAGGTCACTCATTCTGACGCGCAAACTGTGGCTTCTGTCATGGTCAGAAAAAAAACAACAGAGTCTCAGGAATACAGACTTAGTGCGTAGAAACCGCACCAAGGTCATGAAGGGGGAGAGAGATTTGTTTACTTATTGCAACATTCCATGTGACACCCTGTATAATGTCATTCAGTTTAAATCAAGTAACACCTGTTATATGTGTTGAATGACTGTGTATATATTTGACATGCAGATATACTAGAGTATTATAATAATTCCGGATAGCCGTCTTTATCTCTACTATTGAAGCAACTACCAATATATTGTCTTCTTTTAATTATCTAGCCAACATTATGTGCACGTAACGAGGTTTAGACACTGAATCGGAACAGGTTTAGGTTTTCTTAAGAATACCCTTTTTTAAGAGTCCTCCTTTTAATTTAAATCTGTGACTCCAACCAGTGGGTTACGGTCGAATCTTACTGCAGAGTATAATTTTATTTAAAGTGAATGTATGTACATAAAGTGTATACTTCGATTTTCGAAGTAGCGGGTAGTCCAGTATCGACTAGTGTCAATTGAATGAACCAGTGTTGTGTACGTTTTGCGACCAGTCTACTACAGTCTACTATAAGCACTGCTGGTGTGTAGCTGCCATTATTATAAAAATGACTACTGTTGACTGGGAAGAAGTAAAAAGGCTAGCTGCCGATTTCCAAAAGGCGCAGCTCAGTTCAACATTACAAAAGTTGGTACCTTTGTTGTTGGATTACATGGAAAAACCTTATTTCAATTCTTTGAGTTACTCATTTATTTAAACTTTATTGACATCTGTTACCTGCTAGATAACCTCCTTTATGTTCTGTTGAAAAAGTTTAAGAGCAGTCAATTAAATTACGATAGTTTTAGAAAATTATGGTGTTGTGACAATATTTTATTACATACTGACATTGAATTTATTTTTAGACTCTCGGAGCGCAACTGTGTGGAGATCATAACCAAACTTCTCGAAGCCAAGTTACTGGATGTAATATTTACAAATGATGGCAAGGAGTACGTTACACCTCATCATTTAGGCAAGGAAATCAAGGATGAGCTCTTTGTGCATGGTGGCCGTATCAGTTTGGTGGAATTGGCAAAGATACTCAATGTAGATTTATCACAGATATCAAAAGTTGCTGCAGATATAGAGAGGCACGATAAGGGAGTCAGGCTTGTACTTGGGCAGCTGATCGATAAAAATTACATTATTAAAATTGCTGGAGAGATCAATGATAAACTTAATCAATTGGGTTATGTTAATATATCTGAATTGACACTCCAGTATGATTTACCAGCCGATTTTTTACAATCGACTATCGAGAAGGAACTTGGAAAGACTGTGTTTGGTAGACAAGATATGCAAGATCCTAGAATATTTTACACAGAGGGCTATGTTGCTAGGAATAAGGCAAAAGTTAGGGGTGCTCTTTCTGCGATTACAAAACCTACTCCGCTGTCAGCTATATTGGGCCAATGCGCAGTTCCTGAAAGAATATTTTTCTGTAAGCACGTAAACCATGTCTAATTTTATTCGGGTCCAAACATTTTTAGGATATTTAAGAGCATTCATTTTTCAGCTATACTTGATTATTTACAAGAAGTCAAGCAGATACCTGGTGTGGTTACTGGAAAACAGGGTGGCAACGGTATTTATGTACCGAGCATATACTCCAAAAGCCAGAATGAGTGGGTTGACAATTTCTACAAACAAAATGGCTATCTCGGTAAGTGCCATAAAATAAATACATTATGGGAGTGTGTAATTGAATTTTTAATTTTTATTTCTTATTTTAGAGTACGATGCCCTCTCGCGTCTCGGTATTTCGGATCCTCAAAGTTTCGTGAAACGCCACTTCGTTAATGAGAGCCTAATCCTTTTGGACTCTGTAGCAGTTGGTGCAACAGTCATTGACCAAGTAGAAGCTAATGTGGAAGAAGCAGTAGTGAGCTCATCCTTCGCTGACATTTATCCTCTACTCCCATCAGTGTTCACTCCTGAGGATGCAGAGACCTTGCTGAGAATAGCTGCGAAGAAGACAAAGGCAAATATCCATATATTCGCAAGCACTGTAGCAGTCTCCGATGCCTATCTCCAAAAGCTGGGTAAATCTTTTGAAGCTATAGCTGAGAAGAAAGCCAAAGAAGTCGTCGAGAGTGGAAAGTGGCTCCAATCTATTGCCGAGAATAAAATAAAGTCCAGGATCAATGATGTTCTAGAGAATAAAGTGGATAAACGAGAAGAGCGGCGAAAGAAGGCAACAGTAGGCAAAGCTGGAGGTGGCAGTCAAGGTAGAGAGACAAAAACGAAATCCACTAAGAAGAAAAATCAAAGAGGGAAGAACCAAGAACCGGATTCCGATGAGGAGTATGCTGCTCAAAATTCCACAAAGAAAGAACTCATTCTAATCTCTATCGAAAACATAGAGCAGCAGATCAGCAAGGATGAAAATCTGACTGACGTAGAAGGCCTCGTAACAGAACTTGCTACCTACCTACAACCAAAACTTAACAAGCATGCTCTCTCTGCAGCTGAACAATTAAGTCAAAACAATAAGGTTACTAATCTTAATGAAATGGAGGAGCGACTCAATATGCTGGCAATAAATATTCGTGTCTTTGACAAGGGCATCAAGCAACTGGATAAGAATTCTCAGATTGTTATGACAAAATACCTCCTAAAGACCCTTGGAACAGACTTAGCTAATAATGTATTTAAATTGGCAGCGCAACAAAATGTTATTCAATGCCCTGAAAATCTCACCACCGAGGTCAGGCAAAAGATGTTGCTAGAATTGCCAACAGATGTAAAAGATCCTCTAATGACTTTGCATAAAACTGTCACATCCGGATCTGTAGAAGATGTTTTGGCAGTTGCTGATGGTGCCTTTGCTGCTTGCTGTCTAGTAATGCGAAAGTACGATAAGAAGAAGGAACGTTCTACAGTAGTTGGACATCGTGAGGCTTTATTGGAACAATTAAACTCTACTGAGGATCCTGCATTTGCATTGCACCTAGCAACGAGTGTTCTATTTACTGCAGCTACTCAAAGCGCTTTACACATGTCGGGCAGACACGTAGCTTCCGTTTTGTCATTTTTGCAGTCTTTTCTAGAATCTGGGACTATAACGACACTCTCTAAGTACCATGGTAATTGATAATTCTCTGCTTTATATAAATGTTATTTAAAGTAAGTCTGAGTACTATTTTACTTAATTTTTTTTTCAAGATCTTGTGCTGAAATTACTGAGCTCACCAGATGATGCGACCAAGACAGAAGCGGTGAAGGAGCTGGATGACAAATTGCAAGAAATAAAAAATATTGCAAACGATTTCAAGAAACATTTGAAATCTGACAAACCTCATGAATAATTATACTGAGCTTTACTTTTTTCTTTCATGGAAACAGATATATTTAGGTATTTAGTCGGTGACCGATTCTGAATGCATTAATATTGTACAGATAATGTTTGACGAGGATCTTGAAGGATTCTTATAGGAGAATATATTTTTTAACTGTTACATGTTCATTTTTATTCCTTACATCCTAATTGTGCAGTACTTCTCATCCACAAAAAAAAGATCCTAAACGATAATTTGAAATACGGTTCATTTTTGTTCTATTCGAAATGCAACGTTTTCATTGGTCGATGTAAAAGTACCGTTGTACATTGCTAGAATACAGTCAATTTTTTCAAAGTTTCAGAGAACTAAGATTCTCCTAATACTATTTATATCAAGTAAATAATCAATTATATTTTTATATTCCTTATTAACTTGTCCCATCCCATAAATAAAAATGAATATGTGTTACCATGACCTTCATTTCTTGATCATTCAGGTAAAATTCACAGTGATATCGTATCGAATGGCATAACTGGTGGCCCGGCCAGCAGATGGCGGAACCGGCGGGGTGAGTACACGTGCCTGTAAACGGACAATCCATAAAACTGGAGCACTCGGTTCTCGAAGACTAAAAATGTGAGTGGATGCCGATCGTAGCACGACATCTGCCACTCGTGCACAGTTTTACGTTTATCAGTGTCTATTATTATACGTTATCTTGTAAATAGTGAGAGTGGTGACGGTCATCAATTACCGAATACGGTCTCATTGGACTGCAGCATTTGTCGTTCCTGTTACTTAGTATAAATCCCGAGCATGTGCAGGCTGTCGCATGCGGCGCTGGCGGTAAATATAACGTGATTGCACGAGGGGTCGCTCCGATAATTTATACATGGTGAGTGCTTTTATATACATATAATTTTAATATTAGAAAGAACAAGAGAATACCCTGACAATGAGACAACAGAAAGTTTGGAAAACTTATCTACCAGAGACTCTGATACAAACTTTGGTTAGACTATCTTATGCTGGTTTTATCTACAATGTTGGCAGATCAAATGTATCTAGACGAGTTCAATTGATGATGATGTGTCAAGGAATTAGTATTCTTATGACGATTCTTACCATTGACAGTCGTTGTAGTTATAACATTTATTCCAATGCTGACTCTGAAGTACATTAGTTGAACGTTAATCCTCATTTTTATGAATTAAAGAGGAATGAACGCGAGGAGTATAGCTGTAACTGCTCATAGTTTGATATGAAATTGATTATACATCATTATACAGGACGGCCACTGAAAGGTTGGAAAGGGTATTTGTTTTATATCATTCAGTCTTTCAGTGGACACCCTGTATAAGCATCAATAATTGTTCGACAATTTGCCAAGCAACAGTTCAATAAACTTTCAACTTGATAACGTCGATCAAACCGATCGTACCGTATCGTCATTTCAATAAGAACAAAAACTACATAATCATATCACGGTTTTTTTTGAATAATTGACGTTACTCTACATACCCTCTAGATTTTCCATTAATAGTAATCGTCACTGATTACTCATATAGCTATGTCGCTGTTCTACTACCACTGACTATTCATAACCGATAATGGTCTATGCAATGATGTGTGTAAATTGCGTAATTATTTCCTACTACTACTTTTGACTCCATACAATCTGTTGACTGATTTCATTTTTGGTTGTAAATAAAAATCAATATTTGCTTTGTCTCTAATAATGACAAGGGTCAATGACATAAAATTTTATTGTATGTAAACCGATGCGTATAATGAAAAGTAATTGTGTAGGAAGAAAGCTAGATAATAGGTTCACTCACTAGAATGATTTTGGATGAGAGAGCGCTCAGTTGTATTATCAGAAGCAGTAGTAGGGATAAAATAAAGATGGTCAGTGAGTGTTGAGGCTGCAGTTACAGTCAGTAATAATAAACTATAGCGAACGCGCATCAGTAGTGCTACAACCGTCAATCCATTCAGTTCGTTTCTACAAGTGCGATTAATCTGTGCGACTCTGTCAGGGTTTGCGCGCGCGCGCTGGCGCTGCGCTACTCTAGTCTAGTTTATATATTATATTTTCCCTTTTGTACCCTTACTACTTGCGCCTCGATCTTTGGCGATTGTACCCGAGGAATATTGCCTGGTTACTTTGCACACGAAGAGAGACGCCGTACGTATTGGTCTCCCGCGCAGAGAAGACGAGTGATTCTATTTTGCGACATTTTAGTAGGACATGGTAAGGAGGATATTTTATATTGTTTTCATTACTCGATAAATATATTACATTATTTTTATTTTTAATACTACTGATTGTAAATTATTTCATTTAGAGTATTCAATTGTAGCGTTTGATTTGGTTTTTTGTTAAATAATTATTTGATTTTTGGATTTGTTTATCTCTCTTATTTAGTGGTGCAAGTTTGTGAACTATTATTAATTATTCAATTACGAATTTAAGGAAATGCTGTTGAATAAATTTAAATGCAACTACCTTTTTGTATGGTGATTCGTGTGGTGCTATTGCTAGGGACATTTTTCTTAGTTACTTCCGTGTTCGGCTAGCCTCGACTTATTCTAAATCGAATGCCATGAAAAAAAATGAATGAATATAGGGATATTAGAAACTTGATACGAAATCTGACAATATCTATTGCAGAATACCGTTTACTTATGAAAATTAATTTTACAAAGACCTTTGTACTTTAACGATATCTTAGCGCGTTGCAGATATCGCAGTAGAAAATATTGGGTTAGCATGAAAGTAATGAGACACTCTAGAAAATTCCACACATGTCCTTTTTTAAATTGATTGTTTTTTATCAAATTCTATTGTATACTATATACCCACAGAGCGGAAGTATCTAGAATGTTCTACAACATACTAGAATGTGGTCAAACCAATTAATTTAAAAAATGACATGTGTCGAGTTTTCTAGTGTCTCATTCCTTTCATGCCAATCCAACAATTTAAGAAAATGATCTGTTAGCGAATCAATCTAATTTCTTTGTTTTTCTTTTTAGGAATCGTCCGCTGACGTGTAATCGATTTATGGGACTAATTGAAAGACAAAATATAGCGAATCCTTGAAGTAGTAAAATTTAAAAGCAAGTATATAGGAAAGAAGAATAAATAAGATGACTATCGCTGAAAATCTGAAGAACAAGGATGGTTCAAATCCTCATTTGAAATTTGGTGCTGTGAAGAGGTCTTCTGATGATGCCGATGACGGTCGAGATTCTAGCAAAGATTCTCGTAGTGGCAATTCTCAAGTCATCCGTCGCGACGAGGAGGTCGTGAACGAATCACAATGCACTGACGTGACGCCCTTGCAGAACTTCAATCCTGACAGTAAGCGCCAGCACGAGAATGGCCTTTTACATGAACGTACTGTCCTCAGTAAAGCGGAAGTGGACCGCAAGGATCTTGAAATCGGAAGTGATGATCGTGAGGGAAGTGAACCACCCGATGGTGGCGTTCGAGCCTGGATGATAATGGTTGGCAGCTTTGTTATCAACGGCGTCCTCTTCAGTGTCATCAATACTTACTCCCTGATTTACATAGAACTGAGGCAGCGGCTAATTGATGCTGGAGAAACGGAAGCTTCTTTCAAAGCTGGTAAGTCAGTTGTTGGTTTATGAAATTGTTGTAATTCTAGCATGTTACCAGAGGCTACAGGTCAGATAGCGCGGGTCATAGGTCATACTGATCAGACAAGAATGAATTGTGTCACAATTCTTAGCCAATAGTCAATTCTTTCATAATTAAACTATGAAAACTTCAAAGTATTGTAAAGATTGAAAAGGAATCTTCATTCATGAAAATAGCGGATACTGCAAATTCCAAAAATATTCGATTACCAAACGTACTAGTCGACGTATTCTGCATGGTTGGTAATTATGAATATGCGCAATTCCAGGAGAAATCGGCCGGATTCGGACGTTTCCTGATCTCGTATTTTTTAAAACGATGGAAACTTTTTTAACTTGAAATAGACGTGAACAAATTCGAGACGTATTTTTTTTGTTCGTTCGAAATGTTTTTTCCCAACGGTATAAATTATCGAATTATGTTGCAAAATTAGCGCTTTGGTAACTTCAAGAATTAATATCTCCAGTTTTATTTGTCGTAGAGAGGTGAACCGCGCTCTTTCGAAGGCCAAAAGAATAACCTATAGAAGAAATTTTGCGAGTCGTAAAAAATTAAAAATTTCTGTTTGTTATAAGCAATTAAATTGTTTAAAGATTTTTCGGCAGATATCGGCCATTTTTTAAATTTTGACAAAATATGGTTGGGTTCTGCTTCATAAAATATATTTTTTTAAATGTGGGTTCACGAATGGTGTCTATGTTTTTTAATTTTTATTAACGGCTTAGTGTGTCCATCTCCTTATCACAAGTCCCGGGGTGAGTTTCCGTCCTAAACGGAATTATTATTTTGAGATTTTAGGCTTTCGCGGCCAATATTATCATTAATACTCAGGGTTTCCGGATGGAAGCCGCGCCTGTGTTCAGCTTTGTGCCGACGTTTCGCGAACGTTTCAGTCTGCATGATCAGGGCTAGGAGCTCCGATACACTCATACTTATTATTTTTCTCTAAAATTTGTTTTTCACAAAGTAAGTAATTTTAGTTTCTGTTAAAATAGATAATATACTTCTGACAATTGGAAACTTTTCTTACAATAATCCCAAGTGCACATAAATATAGTACATATAAAATAAATATATTTTACAACGACGTTCATGAAACCGATTTTAACACGAATTCTAATTTTTGTAAAAGTAAAATTTGACTTCCAGAGATAAACGTTTCATTTAAAAAATCCAAAATACATAGTATCTTTATATACTATATATAATATATTCTTCGCACAAAAAATGATTCTAAAGTGTTGAACACACTACGTCATGAGTAGGGCCGCCGCGGCCTCTGCCTACTACGGGTACTGGGGCCAGGTGCGCTGCTAAAGCGCCATGTTAAAAATTAAAAAAAGAAATAGACTCCATGAAATCCCCATTGAAAAAAAATTTGTAGTTAAGCAGAATTGAATGAAAAATCCCATCATATTTTTTCAAAGTTAAAAAAATGGCCGATTTCTGTCGAAAAATCTTCAAACAATTTACTTGCTTATAACAAACAGACATTTTTAATTATTTACGACTTCAAAATTTCTTCTTATAGGTTATTCTTTTGGCCCTCGAAAGAGCGCGGTTCACCTCTCCAAGAAACATAAGACCAGAGATATTAATTCTTGAAGTTACCGAAGTGCTAAGTTTGCAACAAAATTCAATAATTAATAACTTTGTAAAAAAAACTTTTTTCGCGTCTATTTCACGTAAAAAAAGTGTCAATCCTTTTGAAAAATACAAAGTAAATTATTGGTCGATTTTTCCTGGAGTTGCCCATACATATACAACTTTGAAAAGGAATAATGAAAAGAATGAAGGTAAAATTAAATACATAAGTTTTAATGCACATCCAAAGATACTTGGAAATGTTCGTATTGGACTTAGCTTTCAATTTGATGTGAAGCCTAAATTAAAAAATTTGCGTTATTCACAATTTTTATTCTATAGTTTCATTAACGAGTTAACATCTGGTTTCTATGTAAGGCATAACTGGCTGTATCTGTTGAGCATTTCATGGGTTAATGGCGACACACCGACGCCTCGATAAAAGGAAAGGAGACGTCTCAATTTCGCTAGGTGTCCAGTTTCTATCTAGTCACCTCCCTATGTATCCATGTTTCTTTATCGACTCTTTCCTCCTGGTGGATCTAGGCAGCTTTGACAATCTACCTTTTTTCCAGATCCACGTCTCAGTAAGCACGACACTCCAGTAGACATCCACTTCGAAGTTTCTTCTATGTTCTCAACACTTCACAAAACCCTGAGATACACGTGCGGAATAACGAGATAGATAGAATTTAATCATTCAAAGTAAAGACAAACATTTACAATTTTTTTTTTCACCATCTTCTGGTGGCTTCGCCATTTGAGAGGCACACAAAATAGAGCCTGGCTCTTGGTTGGCTGTAGCAGAATATTCTTAAAAGATTCAATGGATTAGTTTTGCGTGGCATTCTGTCGGTTTCTGCCTTTAACTTCCTTCCTTCCTTTCCTTATGGCTGTATCCCCAACGGGGGCACGTGCCAGTGTGCCTTTAACTGAAAAGCAGTTTTGAAGTAGCCATTGACTACCAACGTACAAAGACCAACAATATGCAGAATTCTATAGATAAAATTCTATCTGTATCGTAATCACATCCCAGTACAGTCAACACAATTAGCGTGAGGTCATCCTAGCAGTACTACAAAGGGGAACGCAGTCCCTACGTAAACTGGCAATTAATGGTCAGTGAACCTTGTTATCAGTTTTCTCTCAATGCTTCTCTTCGTTCCTTATTCGATAATACCCTCTTATCGTTAATGCAGCACTGATATGACCAGTGTACGCAAATTAGTTTCCATGGAGCGACTGTACTCATTACCATAGCCTGAAGAAATACCACCACAAAAAGCACTACAAGGTTCCAAGATATTGAAGGTTAAAGTTTAAGTGAAGAAATAGACTGGCCTCTTTACCTGTTGAAATTGATACACGTATCACCAACTTGCAAAAAAAAATAACCGCAGTCACATAGAAATTTAATATACCTGCAGATAGGCGCCTTCGGCTCTGTCGCAACATAACCCTACTTATTTGTAATCATTATTTTTTAAATTTACAACACGGTTCATCTGTCAGCCCTATAGAGACCACAGATAGTAATATAAGCAATGTAAAATTTACTCATGATATTATCATCATTGGGTATATCAAATTCAGGCGCACCCACACGTATGATTATCTCATTCGAGACTTATCATTTCATAATAGTATTATCCTTGTAATCATTTTATTCTAACATCGTCAATTTCTCTAGTAGCATTTTTTTCTGTTTACACTGTTACCCTATAGTACATTGTGCACATAGTAATAATATACTCGGATGTCTGTGGACACTATCAGTCATCAGGTTGGTTGAGTGATTTTGTGTCCCACAAGTAATGAAATGAATTATTTTCATAAACTATAATGTATCCACTCCCATAGTCCACCGGCTGGCTCAATATTTAAACTTGTGAATTATTTTTTGCTTTCTCCATATCCGTACTGTACATATTTGCAACGCGCTCCGGCCCTTTTGACGCTTCTTTACCAATCTTCCTCCTTTGCTCACCCCCCCTCCCCATTCTCCAATTAGCAATTTCTAGCAGCAATTGTGAGCCTGTGTCCACCACTCTGGATCCTATAGATACGATTAGGAGGTAGATGACGCGCAATATACTCGTGGAATACTCTGTAGCCTCTAAGAAACCACGGCTGTAATGTCATGTGTGTAGAATATCCATACGAGACACTTGCAATTGTTATACCTATATTTAGAGCGTAGCATAGGCTACTGATGATACATTGGATGTATATACATACAGGGTGTACAGTGAAAAGTATTTAAATAGCTTAAAAGGATGCTGATTTGTTGAATTAAATTTTTTTCTCTTTTCTCTCTCTTTAATTTGATCTAATTGGAATAACCTCGATATGAATATCAGTCGAATTAAGGACACACACTCGTATGGCACGTTAATTAAGGACCATGGATGCTGATCGATTAATTAAATTTGTTTTCCATGTGCTTATATGCACGCGTATAAATGTTCACCACCACCTGGTATTAATTGACTATTCGTTTGATGTCACTGGATTAATTAGTGATTTAACCACTGGTCCATTCTAATAATAATCATCAATTGAGATTAATTTCTTATAAATAATTTTTTTATTTCCTTTATTTACTCCTACTTTGCGATGCTTCGTATTTCCTGTCTACGTAGTTTGCTGTGACGTATGAACTGTATTAAGGTAGTCCTCCCGCGTGGGTGATTGTTAGATAGGTACCTAAATTTGAAATATGTTAAACAGAAAAACTGGTGCGATTACTGACAGTTTATATGAAATAAATACTGTTGAAAGTAATAATTTGTAATTTTATCGCTTGTGGGGAATCGCCACGGCCGTACTTTCAATGAATGATTTAAGTACTTAGTGGTTAGATGCGTATATATGTACATAAAAGCTTAAAATATTCCCTGGAATTTCCGGATTCCGTAGGCATCTCGAAAATGACTACTTATCGGGTATTTGGCTTTCATGTTTGAAGTTAAGTAAGATGTGAATTGTATTTCATACAGTTATCCTTTTACTGTCGTGGCAGTGAGATAGACTTGGCAACGCTGTATGCAACCAACTGTTCCGAAGACCCATATTAGCCCGCTATTTCGCGAAATACGAATTTGATAAATAATTGCGAGGATTCTCTTTCAAACTATTTAATTTATTTAAAAAAAATTTACTTGCGGTAATTCATATTTATTCGACCTATTGATATATTTCTTTCTAAACTTGCTCACCCTGAATAAAAAAAATTGGCATGCGAGCCTCGGAGAAAATATAAGATAAAGTGGAATAAGGAAAATAGGAATTAAAAATGCAGAAATATTGTTAAATTCTAATATATACAATGTTTACTCGGACAACTTATACTATGATTTTTAAATTGCATATAAAATGTTATT